GGAGAGATTCCTGAGTGCAGAGCACTGACAAAAAGCACCAGCACGTGGGAACACCATGCACCCCCTTTCTTGCCTCTTTGCCCGGCAGTGCTGAGGGCCCCGGGTCGGGGTAGGGGGTCCCTGGAACCCTCAGTCAACCGACAGCTCAACCCTGGGCGCTGTCGGGGTGCGGGAGGGGCTCAGAACTAGGGTCCACCGGGCAGGACCTTGTGCCCTGAGCTGCCTCCCTGGCCACAGGGCTGCCCTTCTGGGGGTCAGTCTGAAACCGTTGCCAAAGGGTCCCCGCGAGGACAGGCAGGCAGGAGGGGGCCTGGCAGGGGTGTAGACGCCCTTTGAGCTCAGGAGCTCTCCTGCATCCCCCCCGGGCCGGGTGCCCACCCGCCCCGCTCCTCACCTTCAGCCCGTGAGTCCCTCGCGGTTTGGAGAACGGCCCCTGGAGCTCCGTGCCCTTGTCGGCGTACACCTGCGGGTCGGAAGTGACACACAGACCAGGGGCCCTAACTTTCTTTCTTTTTTCTTTTTTTTCTTTTTTGCTTTTTGGGTCCCACCCGGCGATGCTCAGGGCTGACTCCTGGCTCTGCATTCAGGAATCCCTCCTGGCGGTGCTCGGGGGACCCTAGGGGATGCCGGGGATCAAACCCGGGCCACGCACCCAAGGGACAATGACCTATTTCTAGGATGGTTCCCGCATCCGTGGGGCACCCATGGGTGGGCTGTGGGACCCTGCGACGCGGAATCACATGACTCTCCCTGAAGCGCTGGGTCTCACTGAATCCTCAGCACCCAAGCTCACGGCTGCTTCGAGTTCCCTTATTTATTTATTTATTTATTTTTTTGCTTTTTGGGTCCCACCCGGCGATGCTCAGGGCTGACTTCCGGCTCTGCGCTCAGGAACCACTCCTGGCGGTGCTCGGGGGACCCTAGGGGATGCCGGGGATCGAACCCGGGTCGGCCGCATGACAGGTGAACTCCCTCCCTTCTGTGCTATCTCTCCAGGACCCCTTTCCTCTTTATTATTATTGTTGTTGTTGTTGTTATTATTATTATTTGGCTTTTTGGGTCCTACTGGGTGATGCTCAGGGGTTCCTCCTGGCTCTGCACCCAGGAATTACTCCTGGCGGTGCTCGGGGGACCCTAGGGGATGTCGAGGATCGAACCGGGTCAGCCACATGCAAGGCAAATGCCCTCCCCGCTGACTATGACCCCAGCCCCAAGGAGCCCAAACTTTCCGCCCTGCCCGCGACGGGGGGGGGGGGGGGTAGGGTCACCCAGGAGACAGACACGGTTGTCCCTGCGGGCGTCTGTGTCCTCTCGGGCCCCTCTCTCCTCCTGGCCCTGCCCTGTGCCCCCAATAGTGGAGGGCCTGTCCCCCTGCTCCCAAGGCAGCCCCCCACACCCCCGCCTGGCCCGGCCACCCCCTCTCCAGGGTCACTCTGGGTACATCCGCCAACCCCCTCCCCCGGCATGGAAGCGTTTGTCATCTGTCATGGCCCACGTGAGTGTGAGTCCCGGGCGCCCGACCCCTCCCCCACCCACCCGCTTTTGTCACCTGGGCCAGGTCTTGGTCGTAGAGGGCAGCGGGCCACCGTGGCGGCCCCCACACTTCCCCCTGGCTGTGAGGCCGGGCCCCTGCCCTGGGCTCCAGCAGGCTCTGGACTCTGGTGGTCTCCTGGTTGGGACCCCGGCACGCAGCCTTGAAGCTCTTGTTCTGCAGGACAACAAGCGCTTTGGGGTTCAGCCTCGGGGCCGGCTGGGGGGACCCTCCCCTGGGGCCCCTCACACCCGTGAGACCCCTGTGAGGTCTCGGGGGGACTCAGAGCCCCCCACTAACCCACTGGCTCTGCGTGTTCCCTTGGCCCTGTGTGCGGGTCCCGCCGGGCTGGTTCCAATGCCCGGGGGTCTGCGGGGAGGGGTCACCCCCGTTCCTGCTCCCTATCAGGCCCATTGGGGAGGCACCCCCTCCCCCCTCCCCATCTCCCCTGGGTGGGGGGGGCACTCCTACACCCACCATGCTTTTCCTCAGCCCCGTGGCCCTGGCCGTCATGGTGGACAGGAGAGGGTCAGCGGCGCCCGGAGCTCCCCTGGGGGCCAAGCCCGGCCTCTGTCCAGCGCAGCTGCTGCCCGGGTGAGGCTGCGGCCTCCTGGCAGTGCCCACCCCCCTGAGGTCACAATACCGGGTGTCTGCTTGGCGGGTCAGTGGCCCTCTGCCCCCGGGGGTCCTGGTCACTGGATGCGTGTCCCCAGCTGGGGGTGCGCCAGGCGTCCTTCCCCAGACCCTGCCTGGCCCTGTCCATGAGGAGGACCCCCATAGCACCTCCCCTGAACTGGACGCCCCCTGGCGGCCACATCTAGGGCCCCTGAACACTCGCTGGCGCTGGGCTAGCCTGGGCTGGACAGTTGGAGGCTCTGACCTCAGGGTGGACACTTGGCTGCCCACACCCAGTGTCCCCAAAGCAGAGTCAAAGGGACCAGAGGTGGCCAGGCCTCCACTAGGAGTGGACTCCTCTGCCCTGATCCCTGGGCGTTCTGGAACCTTCTGTGGGGGTCATCCCTGCAGTGCCATGTTGGCAGGGATGAGGGCAGGAACAGGGGGAGGGGCAGTTGCCTCCCGGCCCCACCCGGCTGTCTGTCCCCCAGGGCCACGCTGTTCCAGACAGGTGGCCTTGGCGAGGCTTCCTGGGGGTCAGTGCCTGGTGCCACTCTGGGACCCGCCTGGACACTGTGTTGATCACTTTCTTTTTTTTTTTTTTCAGTTTTTGGGTCACACCAGCTGGCCTCAGGGAGCACTCCTGGCAGTGCTCGGGAGACCCTATGGGATGCCGGGGATTGAACCCGGGTTGGCCACGTACAAGGCCAACGCCCTCCCCACTGTGCCGTCACTCTGGCCCCTTGTCTTAATTTTTTTTAAATGAATTTTGTTTTCTGTTTGGGGGGCCACACCCGGCGATGCTCAGGGCTGACTCCTGGCTCTGCACTCGGGAATCACTCCTGGCGGTGCTCAGGGGACCCTAGGGGATGCCAGGGATTGAACCCGGGTCGGCTGCATGCCAGGCCAACGTCCTCCCCGCTGTCCCACACTCCATCTGTCACTATCTCTGGGGCTTCCCGGCCTCTCTGCACTGGGTGATGAGAGGGGGAGGGTCTTGTTGTTTGGGGACCACACGCGGGAGCTGCCTGCGGCCAGTCCGGGGCTCATACAGGCAAAGCGTCTTCTGGCCCCCACATCCGCTGACCAGGAGGGGCGCAGAACTGAGGAGGGAGGATTCCTCTCCACCCCAAGACCCCAGAGGCTGAGCAGTGCCCCTCGCGGATGCCAGGCCTCCCCCCCATAGGCCATCCCCCTCCCAGGCTTGGAGCCCCCTGGGCTCTGTCCCCCGGAGTCTCCCTGGCTGCCCCCTAGGGACTATGCCCAAGAATGGGGCCCAGTGGATGCTGTCTCCATGGATACGGCTGCCCCGGTGCAGGCAGGAAGGAAAGATCTAGAAAGTGGCAGGGAGAAGCATCCTCCAAGTACCCCCGTAGGCAGGAGCCTATGTGGCCCACCTCTGTGGCTCCCCAAACAAAAACACCAAAAGACACGTGACGGTCAAGATGTCACTTGGCCGAGTGATAGCACAGCGGGGAGGGCATTTGCCTGGCACATGGCCGACCCGGGTTCGATCCCTGGCATCCCATAGGGTCCCCCGAGCACCGCCAGGAGGGATCCCTGAGTGCAGAGCCAGGAGGGACCCCTGAGCATCATCGAGTGTGACCCAAAAAGCACCCCCCAAAAAATAAATAGTGAATAATAACTAGTGTATCTTTCCTTATGTTAAGGTTTCTAGTCATGGGTTCACTAGATTAACTGATGTTCTTCCAAACTTTGGTCATTTGGCACTAGAATGAGTATGCTAGAGTCAGGAAACGATATTCAAAAAAATCACAACCAGGGGGTCGGAGAGATAGTCCAGCAGGGAGGGCGCTGGCCTAGCACGCGGCCGACCCGGGTTCGATCCCCGGCATCCCATAGGGGTCCCCCGAGCCCTGCCTGGAGTGATCCCTGAGTGCGGAGCCAGGAGTCAGCCCTGAGCATCGCCGGGTGGGACCCCTGAACAAAACATGAAAAAAAAAGACAGAAAGACGTCACTACTCATTCCTCCCCGCCTCACTGGGCTTTCGGTACCTGCTTCTGGGATGCTTTCGGACCATCGGCAGCGACACACCTGGACGGTTCCTCCTTCCTCAAGAAGAGGCAACTTACCCTGGCCGTGACCGCAGGTTGGCATTGGCGACAGTGAACCTGCAGCCTGGCGTCTTCACGGCCAAGGACACGAGTTCTGGGTGCCTCGGGGAAGGGGGGGACCCCCAGGTTTCCTTCTGGTGGAGTTGGTGCCCGGATGTTGCTCCCCACCCCCAAGGGCACCCCGGGGTGCCACTGCACATCCCCCCCTTGATCCTGTTCACCGCATCTCATCATCTTTCTTTCCGGGGCACCAGGCGGGTACCCGGGATGCACAGACGGGGGTCCTGGCTGTCGGGACACACGCGTCACCCTCTCCCTCTCTTCCGCTCCAGTGTGTTTGTGTGTGTGTATGTGTGTGGGGGGGTGGTGGTCCGTCCTTCTTTTAGGGGGAGGCAAGATTCGGTTTCCGGAGCTGAGTGCTTAGGGGCCGGAGGGGTGGGTCCCCGGTGTCAGGGTGCTGCTGATTTTGCTCTTGGTCCCAGGGGGGCTCCGTGGTGCCAGCCCCCCGCCCTCCACTGCCTGCTGGAGCCCCAAGTTCCATTTCCCCTGAGCCACAGCAAGGAAGTCTGCAACTTCCAGAACCTTCTCCGGGCCCTTCTGTTCTTCCTCCCTCGGAGGATCCCGGGGATGAAGGAGGGTCCATCCCACCCCTCCCCCTCCCCTGTGGGCCCCGCCTCCTTCCTGGCCACCTCCGGCCGCTCCCAGGCCCCGTTTGCTTAGTGAAATCTGTCCTGCGAGCAAGGCAGGGGTGCGGGACACGCGCCCTGAGCCGGGTAGGATGTGGGCGCGGGTCCTGCTGCTTGTCTGCCTGGCAGGTGAGGTTTGCCCTGGGCGTCCCTGAGGGTGGGTGGAGGGACCACGGGAGGGCGGACGCCGGGGTCCGGGGGAGCGGCCCAGATGCTGGCGTTGGGGGCCTCTAGGTGCTACTCACTCAAGCGCCCCAACCTGCGGCTCCTGTCCCGGGCGCCTGTCCACCAAGGGGAGCAGATGGACACGGGATGTGGGGGTGACCCAGGAGTGAGTGGGGGACCCCAGGACAGAGAGGAGGGCCCAGGAAAAGGGGATCGTCTGCCAGGGAAGGTCCCCTGGCTGAGGCACAGGTTGAATGGAGTGGGAGGGGGTGGAGGACTGCAGGGAAAGTTCTGGAAGGTTCCAGACCCAGGTGAGGCCTATTGGGAAAGTTCTGGAAGTTTCCGGGGCCTGTTGGGAAAGTTCTGGAATGTTCCAGACTCAGCTGGGACCTGTTGGGAAAGTTCCAGAAGGTGCCAGGCACAGGCAGAGACTGTTTGGAAAGCTCTGGTAGGTTTCAGACATAGGTGGGGGCCTAATGGGAAAGTTCTGGAAAGTCCCAGAGCCTGTTGGGAAAGTTCTGGAAGGTTCCAGACCCAGGTGGGACCTGTTGGGGAAGTTCCAGAAACAGGCAGAGTCTGTTGAGAAAGTTCTGGTAGGCACAGGAGGTGGGGGGGGGGGGGGCAATTGATTGGAAAAGTTCCAGAAGGTTCCAGGGCCTGTTGAGAAGGTTCTGGAAGGTTCTAGACCCAGGCAGGACCTGTTGGGAAAGTTCTGGAAGGTTCCAGACACAGGTGTGGCTGAGATGCGGGGAGTACAAGCAGGGATCCTCCCAAGCTTTGGGACCTACTCCCAGGGCGTGGACCCAGACCCGGGGGGACGAGACCTGCGGGGTCCCCCCGAGCTGTGGGGGCTGCAGGCAGAACGCGGGAAAGTCAGACGCTTCCTGTCCCCCCACCCCACCCCGCTCTGCAGGGCAACTGCAGCTCCTGGACTCCGGCTTCCTGCAGGCCAGTGAGTTCAGACTCTGCCCCGAACCCGCGCAGCCCTCCCCGCCAAGAGGGATTCCCCGAGCACAGAGGCAGGAGTCAGCCCCGAGCACGGCTGGGGCGTGGCCCCTACACAATGTTGCGTGCCCAGGAAGATCAGCCCCGGCCTGGGGAGAGGGGAAGAGGGCGGCGTGGGGAGGAGACAGGGGCTTGAGGTGCTTGAGGTGCAGATGGGGGTGGCCTTGCGCCCCAAGGCAGCACGTGCAAAGGCCCGGGGGCAGCCGGGAGGCTGGGCGGCCGGGCCTGGTGGGGAGCTCGTGGGGTCGTCCCCGCAGTCGTCCCTGCAGCCCTGCAGCTGATAAGCAACGGGAAGACGTTCGCGAGGGTGGACGACCGGCTGCTGAGCTGGCCCGACGCGCTGCACTTCTGCCGGCTGTACTTCACCGACCTGGCTGACCTGCAGAGCATGGGCAGTTTGTTCAGCCTCACGGACCTGTACAGAGTCACCAGCGACGTGGCCGCCTGGATCGGCCTCTTCTTCGACGTGGCCACGCAGCAGCTGTCCTGGTCCAGCGGCTCCGTCTTCAGCACCCCCCAGTGGACCAAGATGCCCAGCTTTGGGGCTGGCATCTGTGCCACCCTGCACTCCACCGCGGGCGTGCCCAGCCTGGGCGCCGACGCCTGCGCCGTGAGGAAACCGTTCATCTGCTACTACGGTGCGTCCCGAGGCCCGTCCCCCGCCTCCCCCAAGGTCCCCCCAGGCCCCCCGGGGGTGCTCGTGGGCAGAGGGAGGGGAGCCGGGTCACACACGCTACTTGTCCTCACGACAGACGAGAAGGTAGGACACCGCCTCACCACCCAGCCGCCGCTCAGCCTCACCACCTCTCCCCCGCCAGGTACGTCAGCCTCCCTGCCGCCCCCTGCCCGGCTGGGCCCCTCCTCCTCCGGACCTCCTGAGCACCCCAGGGAGAGCAGCAATGGCCGCCATGTTCCCTGGGACCCAGGGTTGGGGTTGATTCCATCCAGGTCACCAATCCGATGTGGCAGGGACCCCGCTCCCCTCCCAGGTCCCTGACTCTCGGGCTTGGGGGCTGGCAGGGACACCCCCCACCTCCAGACCAGATGGTGTCCTTTGGGCATGGCTGACCCCCTTGATTCAGACTCCAAGCAGAGCCGGGGCTGACCCATGACCCCCGGATGCCCCCGCTCCTCGCTGCTGGCTTGCCAGAGATCTCTGGGTACCGGGGCCGGAGTGTTAACACAATGGGGAGGGTGTTTGCCTTGCTCGCGGCCGACCCGGGTTCGATCCCCGGCATCCCATAGGGTCCCCCGAGCGCTGCCAGGAGTGATTCCGAGCAGGGAGTCAACTCTGAGCATCGCCGGGTGGGACCCAAAGAGCCAAATAATAATAATAATAATAATAATGATGATGATGAGGAAAGGGGACCGGAGCAATAGCACAGCAGGGAGGGCCCTGGCCTGTCGCGCGGCCGACCCGGGTTCGATCCCCGGCATCCCATAGGGTCCCCCGTGAGCACTGCCAGGAGTGATTCCTCAGTGCAGAGCCGGGAGTCAGCCCTGAGCATCGCCGGGTGGGACCCCAAAAGCAAAAAAACATCTCTGGGTGCCACAGCACAGCACAGACTCTCTGCGTCCCCCTTTTCCTGGAATATGAGGAGGAGGAGGGCTGACACAGCGCCAGCCCCCCGGGGCTCAGACAGACGCCCCCAGACAGCCATGGCGGGTCAGTGGAGACGGGCGTGGGCGCTGGGGCCCCATTTGAATAGGACACAGTGACTCCCAGCTGTACAAACAGGGTGGCTTCCTGGTCCCCCCAGAACCTGTGTTTTCTGCCTGCCCACCCTGGGCTCTGGGCACTTGCCACGCCTCCCCCCGCAGCCCCCCCCCCCCCCCGCCCCGCTCACTTGCCCGTAAGCCGGTTCCAGACCCCGACAGACCCACGTCCGCAGCAGCCTGTGGTCCAGACAGACGCGTGTGGTATAGACGGCGTGTGCACTGACTTGGGGGCTCCGTCTGGCAGGCTCTGGAACTACACGGTTCTGGGGTTAGATCTGGCTCCCAGGGCGAGCGGGGAGGCTGTTGGCCTGGCACGCGGCCGACCCGGGTTCGATCCCCGGCATCCCCTAGGGTCCCCCGAGCACCGCCAGGAGTGATCCCTGAGTGCAGAGCTGGGAGTCAGCCCTGAGCATCGCCGGGTGGGACCCAAAAAGCAAAAAAAAATAAATAAATAAAACTGGGCTCCCCACACCCACCTCCCCAGCCCCATGTGACCCCATGTCCCCCACTTCAAGGAGGAGGAGGAGGAGGAGGAGGAGATGCCAACTCATTCCCTTCTTTTCTCCCACACCCAGCGGAGGAGGAGGGGGCGGGGAGGAGGGGGAAGAGAGGAGGGGGGCAGGAGGAGGGGGAGGAGGAGGGGGAGGGGGAGGAGGGGGAGGAGTGGGAAGAAGAGGAGGAGGAGGAAGGGGAGGAGGAAGAAAGGAAGGAGGAGGGAAGGAAGGAGGAGGGGGAGGAGGGGGAGGAAGAGGGAAAGGAGGAGGGGGAGGAGGAGGGGGGAAGAGGAGGAGGGGGAGGGGGAGGAGGAGGAGGGAAAGGGGGAGGGGGAGGGGGAGAGGGAGGAAGGGGAGGGGGAGGAGGGGGACAAGGGGAGGAGGGGACGGAGGAGGAGCAGCCAATTCACTCCCTTTCTCCCACGCCCAGCGGCGGTGCAGGTGGGCGGCCGGACCTTCCTGCGGTTCGAGCGGCCGCTCCCGTGGCTCGAGGCTCTGATCTTCTGTCGCCGCCGCTGCTCGGACCTGGCTGACCTGCAGGCGCTGGGCGGGACGGACTGGGACGCGCTGCAGCCCATCGCCTGGGACCGGCCCGAGGCCTGGATCGGCCTCTACTTCAGCCCGGTCTCCGGTGCCCCGCGCTGGTCCAGTGACCAGGGGGACGGCGGCGTGCCCAGCTGGCTGGAGGTGCCCGCGATGGGGGTGGGGCTGTGCGCGGGGCTGGGAACCTTCCGGAACTTCGGGCCGCGCCTGTACGTGACCAGCTGCTCCCTCCACCGGCCCTTCCTCTGCTTCCACGGTGCGTGGCCGGGTGGGGGCTGAGCCTTGGGGGGTGGGGGTACCCGCCAGACCCAAGCCAAGGGGCCGAGCGCCTGTCACTCTGGCTTGGGTACGAGGCCTCCTTCCTCCTTGCTCCTCCCCTTTTGTTTGCTTTTTGGGTCCCACCCAGCGATGCTCAGGGCTGACTCCCGGCTCTGCACTCAGGGATCACTCCTGGCGGTGCTCGGGGGACCCTAGGGGATGCCGGGGATCGAACCCGGGTCGGCTGCCTGCCAGACAAACACCTTTCCCGCTGTGCTATCGCTCCAGCCCCCCCTCTTCTCATCTTACCTTCAGGCACAAGTGACTGTGCTCCCAGCAGTGCTCAGGGGACCCTCTGTGGATTTGGGATTCCAACCAGGGTCCATGCGCAAGGCAGACGCCTTAACTAGTCCATGACTCTCCAGCCCCGCTCTGCTCCTTTCTGAGGGGTCCTATTTGACAGTGCTCGGGGAACCCCTATCCCGCCTGCCAAGTGCCACCCCCACCCTCACCCCTCCCCCTCTTCGCTGAGAGGAATTCACACGCCTTTGCTGGGGGCCGTGCCCACGTCCACTGCACGGCCCAAACCAGCCCGAGACCCGGCCTGTCCTTACTCACTCTCGCCCTTGGCAACCACAAACCTGCCGTCTGTGGCAATCTGCTTGTTCCCTGGCGTGAGTCGGGGGCCCCTCTGGGGTGTCGGGGCTGGACCCTGGCTGGGCCGTGTGCAAGGCAGACGCCCTCCTTGCCATCCTAGCGCTAAGCACCCCCAGACTGCTTCCTTTTCCAAAAGATCATGGTGTCTGCATATGTGTGTTGGGGCATTTCTGCATGTATGTCGGGGCACTGCTGAGGGTGCTCAAGCTATCAGGGCTACACCAGGCGGTGACGAGAGCAACCCAGACCCCTCAAGTCTGTGCCTGATCCCCCCCCTTTGTATTTTGACCCGTACCAGCCTCCTGGGCCTTAGGGGGAACAGGCGGGGGGTGGGGCCGGCTCTGGACAGGTGGGAGGCCCCGAGGTCAGTCTCCAGGTGCACGGCACCTCGGGGAGAACCCCCAAAACAAAGTAGACAGAAGCAGCCCTGCCCCCCGCAAACCAAACGCACCGGGGGCGGGCCTGGGCCTGGGGAGGCACCGGGCACCCTCTCCGCGCCCCCCCCGAGTCCCCCCTCGCTCCCGTGCTGTTCCCCCAGATCCCGCCATCGGCCATCGGACCTCGGCGCCGCTTCCTGTGCAGTTCCTCTCGCACGTGAAGACGACGCCAGGTGCTTTCATTTCTGCTCTGGGCCAGACAGGTCAGAAAAGAGGGGGTCAGGAGGATGCCCCCTGGCCGGGGGAGGGGGCATCAGACCAACATGCTCCCGGGCTTGACATGGGCCTGGGGGTCTAGCGGGGCAGAGACCCTCCAGTCCTGCCCACTGCGGGGAGACAAGGGCGGCTGAGTGGGGCTTGGGAGGAGGCCGGGAGGCCAGTGACGAAATTCCTCCAGCATTTTCACTCCAGGGGGACACTCCCAGTGACACCTGGGGGGGCAGGGGATGGACAGCTGAACCTGAGATCCAGCCCATCAACAGCTTAATATTATATTATTATTATTATTATTATTTTGCTTTTTGGGTGACACCCGGCGATGCTCAGGGCTGACTCCTGGCTCTGTGCTCAGGAATCGCTCCTGGCAGTGCTTGGGGGACCCTATGGGATGCCGGGGATCGAACCCGGGTCGGCCGCGTGTTGGGCAAACGCCCGCCCCGCTGTGCTATGGCTCCGGCCAGCCCCATCCACAGCGGAAACTCCTGACGCCTCAGCTTGTGCCCGCCTCAGCCCTGCCATTTTGCTTCTCCAGGGTCCCAAAGGGAAACTGAGGCAAAGGGACAGCGCCCCCGGCCTGGGGTCACAGGTGAGGGGGACGTGCCACGGGGCTCCCGGCTTAGCCCTGCTCTGGGCATGCAAAGAAGACCGGGCCGGGGGTGGGGGAGGGGAGGGTCTCAACTCCTGGGGTGGTTGAAGTGTCCAGGTCAGGGAAAATGAGGTAGTGAAGGAGGATGAGAGTGGGGAGGAGGGAGAGTGGGAGGGGACATGCCGGGTCAAGGGTCAATGTGGCGGCCAGAGCCATAGCACAATGGGTAGGGCGTTTGCCTTGCACACGGCCGACCCGGGTTTGATCCCCGGTGTTCCATAGGGTCCCCTGAGCACCACCCGGAGTCATCCGAGTGCAGAGCCAGGAGTCAGCCCTGAGCACCACCGGACGTGGTCCCAACTCCCCTCCCCTCAAAAAAAAAAGACTCTTCAGGGCTGGAGTGATAGCACAGCGGGGAGGGCATTTGCTTTGCGCATGGCCGACCCGGGTTCGATTCCCAGCAACCCATAGGGTCCCCCGAATCACACCGCCAGGAGTGATTCCTGAGTGCAGAGCCAGGAGTCGGCCCTGAGCATCGCCGGATGTGACCCAAATAGCAAAATAATAATAATAATAATAATATCTGGTCCATCACCTCAGTTCAGCACCTGATCAATATCTGATCCATCCATAGGGGCCGGAGTGATAGCACAGCGGGGAGGGCATTTGCTTTGTGCATGGCCGACCCGGGTTCGATCCCCAGCATCCCATAGGGTCCCTCGAGCACCGCCAGGAGTGATTCCTGAGTGCAGAGCCAGGAGTCAGCCCTGAGCATTGCCGGGTGGGATCCAAAAAGCAAAAAAAAAAAAGAAGAAAAAAAAAAAGGAAAAAAGCGTCAATGTGGGTTTAGCGGCTGGGGGCAGGGCAGGAGATCCGTCAACCCCCCGAGTGTCTCTTGCGTGGCACCCCGTGTTCTGCCCTAGGGACCCCGTCAGTAGCAGCGACCCCGGCTCCTGCTTTGGAGAAGACCATCACCGTCAGGGAGCTGCCGGAGGGTGCCCAGATCTCCCAGGAAGCGCTGAAGCCACCACAGCTGCCGGCGTCCACCCCGCCTGCACCCCCAGGGGGCAGCACAGACCTCCAGGAATCAGCAGTGGGGACCCCCCCTGCGCCCACAGCCAGCCCAGGGGTCACTGAGCTCCCCCTGAAGGACCCGGGGACCCCTGGCAAGTCGGTCACCCACTGGACGGCGACCCAGGCGGCCACCGTCAGCCCATCCCAAGGGCCGGAAGTACAAGCCTCAGAGACCCCCGCGACCCCCCAGAGTGGCAGGGCAGGCCCAGAGGGGGCGGTCCAGAGCCCCACGGAGGACACACAGCCCAGGACAGGTGCCTGCCTGTGACGCTGGACGCCCGTAACCCCCCAAGACACCCCCTCTCCCGTCCCAACCCATCCCCTCCGCCCCAGCCCTGAGGGGGTTGCAGGGTCAGTCTCTGCCCCCCACGCCCCCATTCCTGTTCACCCAACGGGGGGGGGGTCTGTGCCCATGTCAGCCCCCAGACAGGGCCGTGGGGACAGGAAGTGTCAGGAGAGGCTGGGGGGCCCCAAGGGAACACTGGAAAGGGGGGGGGCTGGAGCAACAGCAGAGCAGGGAAGGGCGTTGGCCTGGCACACAGCCGGCCCGGGTTCGATCTCTGGCATCCCATAGGGTCCCCCGCGCACTGCCAGGAGAGATTCCTGAGTGCAGGAATCACTCCTGGCAGAGCCGGGAGTCAGCCCTGAGCATCGCAAGGGGTGTCACAACAACAACAACAAAATCAGTAAAATCTTTAAGGCTGCTTCCTAGAATACATATGAACATCCACCTCTCTGCCTCAGCCCTGACCAGGGGCACGGGGGACACTGGTAGCCGACACACAGCTTCTGGGGCCCAAGACCACAGCACCCCCGAGTCCCCGCCGGAGCCAGGTGACCGCTCAGCCCCCGGTACCCACGCCCGAAGACCCCAGGAGTGGGGACAGCCCCTCCCCCCCGCAGCCCTCTGAAAACCCCAATGGGGAGGGGGGCTGGGACCACCAGAAGCACCCGGCCCTCATCCGCCCAGGCTGCTACCTCAGAACCTGGCAGCTGCACAAAGTTGGGGTTCACGGCCCCGCCCGGGTTCCCCATTTCCTCTCTACACCTCAGGCTGCTCCTGTTATGGGGGGTTTGCACCGAGGGGAGGCCAAGACCCCCATATTCTCTCCCTCTCAGAGAGACGCTTTGGCATCCTGAGGGCGGACTTCACCCTGCCGGCCGGCGTGGACCCCGAGGGGAGCAGAGAGAAGCTTCTGCAGGAGGTGAGGCCCGAGGGGCACACGGGCCCCTCTGCAGGGCACGGCTGGGCCCTGCCAGTACCTAGACCAGGCATCAACCTCACTTCCGTCTTTTCTTACTCTATCCAGCTCTTCTTCTTTCTTTTCTTTTGCTTTTTGGTCACTCCCGGCGATACTCAGGGGTTCCTCCTGGCTCTGCACTCAGGACTCACTCCTTGCGGTGCTCGGGGGACCCTGTGGGATGCTGGGCATCGAACCCGGGTCGGCGGCATGCCAGGCCAACCCCTTCCACGCTGGGCTCTTGCTCCCTCCTGAGCGCACGCGTTGAGTTTGTGTCTAGTGGGGAAGGACTTGAGAGCTTCGGGTGCCTTTCCTTCTAGAAGAATAGAAATGATCCGATCTAGCCACCTCAGCCCGTTGCTAGTAAAATCTGGGGAACACCAGTGAAGTCTTTGAGGACGGGTTTATATGGACATTTGACGGGAGGGGACCCCTGAACCAGAACCTGCTTTTAAGTCAGCAGTCCGGTCATAGGGGGACCGGAGTGATAGCACAGCTGGGACGGCGTTGGCCTTGCACGTGGCCGACCCGGGTTCGATCCCCGGCATCCCATAGGGTCCCCTGAGCACTGCCAGGAGTGAGTCCTGAGTGCAGAGCCAGGAGTCAGCCCTGAGCATCGCCGGGTGGGACCCAAAGCCAAAAAAAAAAAAAAATACAATAGACCAGCGGTCTTTGGGCTAGAGATGGGAGATGGGGACGAATAGCACTTAGATCGCGTCGTCGTCCCCGAGACCCCCACACCCACCCCGCGTTCCACCTCCTGGGTTGGTTCTAAAGAAGATTTATTTTTGTTCTGTGAATACTTTTTTGACGGTTCTTGTATATGTACAGATCGAGATAACGTTTGAGGCCTTTTATTGATATTCCTAACGGAGAATACAAATAAAACTCTAACTTTAAGCATTTCAGAGTGGCGAGGCTACCGTTTCTGGGGTCGTTTCTCCCCGTGTGTGTGTGTGTGTGTGTGTGTGTGTGTGTGTGTGTGTAGGGCTCCGCAGAGGAAGCGGCCTCAAGGTAGGTGGGGGTGTGGCATCAGGGACAGTTGTCGCCAGCCGTGTATTCTGGGCCCCGTGGGGAGACGGGATGGTCCCCTCCACGCCTCTGGCTGGGCACCTCAACCACTCTCCCCGGCCCGCCAGTGGGGTTCAGGGCTCAGCTCGGGGGCTCGCTCTTGTCAGTCACCCTCAAGGTCGTTACTCCCGTGGGCACCCTCTCCATCCCCTCCCGTCCCGGGCCCTGGCGTCCAGATCTTTCTCCAGCCGTCAGCCAACGTTCCTCCACTCGGAATCAGAACGGCCAACGGCACTCCTGTTCCATTCCAGGGGTGCGGGGAGGGACCCTGGACACTGCCCAGGACACTACCGCTGACTGTTCTCGAGGGCCACCCACTTCAGCCGCAGTGGCTCCGGCCCCAGGGTCAGCTGCAGGGCTCGGCTGATCTGCCAAGAGAGGAGAGGCCAGGGGCATGGATCAGTGTTCATCTGACACCCGGTGCTGGCCCAAAGTCACTAAGTGTCCACCTGAAGCCTGGCGCTAGCCCCCGAGTCCCTCAGTGTTCCCCTGATGCTTGGTGCTGGCCCCCGAGTCACAGTGTCCACCTGACGCCCAGCGCTGGCCCTCAAGTCAATCTCCGCCTGACGCCCGGAACTGGTCCCCGAGTCCCTCAGTGTCCACCTGACGCCTAGCACTGGCCCCCAAGTCACTTAGTGTCCGCTGGATGTCCAGTGCTGGCCCCGAGTCTCAGTGTCCACCTGACGCCTAGCACTGGCCCCCAAGTCACTTAGTGTCCGCTGGATGTCCAGTGCTGGCCCCGAGTCTCAGTGTCCACCTGACGCCCAGCGCTGGCCCGAGTCTCTGTCCACCTGACACCCATCCCCTCCTGCTCCCCAACCCACCCTCCAGAGCTGCCCTTCCCAATGGTCCTCTTGGCTGACCAGAAGGCGGGCACGAGGGGTGTCTGAGACCCCCCACCCAACCCCCCCCGACAAAGCATCAGGGACTGAAAACTGCTGACCTGGAAGGGCGGGTGCTAGAGCCTCCTTGCACCCCCGCCATGTCCACCCCAGCAGCGAGTCTCAGAGGTAGGAGTTTCCTCTGGGGGTCATTTCCCCCGTCCAGGATGTGGGGGTGGAAGGGACAGATATGGCTTTGGAAAGAAAAATTACATCTTGGGCGGGTTCTGCCGGGGGGGTTTCAGGTCTTGACATGAGAAATAAATTATTTGGGGAGGTCGCTGTTCAAGTTCACGCGGGGCCCAGGAGAGCCTGGATGGAGACGAGAAACCCACGTCCTGGGGAGGGTGATGCCGTCGGAGGGGGGACCCGGGCGGGCACGTGCCCCCGAACCAGCCCACACCTCGAAACTCACTCAGCCACTGGCCGCCCAGGTCATCAAGCTTTGGGTGTCCCGAAAGTGACACTGGCCACAGGAGCTGAGAGGGGACACCCAGAGGGGGGTTAGCGTCTCTGCGGCGGCGACAGACACAACAGCTGGGTCCCAAGTCCCTCACCAGAACATTCCCTGGCCCACATTGGGATGAAGAGCAAGAATGGTGGGGGGAGGGGATTTGCCTTGCACGCGGCCGACCCGGGTTCGATCCCCAGCATCCCACAGGGTCCCCTGAGCATCGCCAGGAGTGATTCCTGAGCACAGAGCCAGGAGTAACCCCTGAACATCACCGGGTGGGACCCAAAATTAAAAAAAAAAAAGTAAACTGGGCCACGGGCAAAGTGCGTGTGACACCCCATAGTTACCAAGGCTAGTGGGGACCCCCAGGGTGACCAGACCAGGAAATGATGCTGCTGCTTTCTGGAACCTTCTTAAGACCCTCCCAGCCCGGGGGGTTATGATTCAGGATACCTCGAGGGTCTTTGGGACAATGGACCAAATCTGTGTCAAGTCTCTTCCCTGCAGAGGCGCACACCACACCCCAGAACGCCTGTGGCACTCAGGGCTGGGAACGGCCTTTGCCCAGCTCAGAGCTGGCCCAGAACCACCCCCCCCCCCCCCACCGGGACCCGTCCTCCCTCCCTTGCGCCTTCTCGGGACCTCCTGGAACGGGGCCGCTCTCGCTGTTTGGTCTTTCCAGACCCCGAGCGTCCACGAGGGGCTCTGGCCCCCAAGTGATGCTTCTAGGACACCGAGGTGCTCGGTGGGAGAAGGGGCGCCGTCTGGAAAAATGCAGTGCCCTCTGGGGTCCCGCTTTTGCGAAGCCGGCGAAAGTTGCCCAAAGAACCGCCAAGGGGCCCCCCCAAAATCCAGCCTCCGGCTAGGGGCGGGACAGCGACTGTTTCCCGGAGGAAAAGCCAGGGAGAAATGAAAAGAGAAACGAGAAACTTCCAGAAGCGGCCAAGGGCCCCTTATGGTCACTGCGCCGGGCTTGGGGTCACGAGCAAGAGGGGCCTGTCCCTGGGGTTGCACCCCTGGACGCTGAGCTCCAGTGGGGCTCCCCACGTGGGTCCCCCGCCCAGGGCAGAGCGCCTGGGGCCCGCTGGGCACTGGACAGACCCCAGCAGGGAGCTCCGGCTGGACTCCCCAGGGCCACCGGACCCGGCCTGGGGGGCAGACACAGAGCAGAGGGGAACTGAGGGACCCCCAACTTCCGGCCTGGGGACAGTGGGCATGAGGTGTTTGGGACAATGGGGCGTCCTGGTGGACGTGGAGGCCAGCGGTCCCCGTGATGGAAGGGGGCAGCGCCCATGCCCCCCGGCTCCTCCCTACCCTGGCCTGGCGTTGTGTGGTCATCCCAATAAGCCTCGGCCGCTATCCTTCCCCTGTTGATGAGAGCCGCCCTGTTCGGGGGGTGCAGGCAGGAAGAGGAAGCCTAGGACCCCCGGCCTCCTCCCTCCCCCCAGTTTCTCTTCCCCTTCATCCTCTCCCAGGGCCTAGGGCCAAGATATGCACTTCCGGCCGCCCGCTCCGTCTTTCCAAGGGAAGCTTCTAGAACAGTTCAGAGACGGCAGCAAGAGAAAACACTCAGGAGACCAGAAAAATAAAATGATGCTAGGGAAAAAAAAAAAACACCCAAAACCTCAGGAGAATGAGAGAGAGAGAGAGAGAGAGAGAGAGAGAGAGAGTCAGGCAATGAGCTTGCTTTGCAGGTTCGATCCCCGGCATCCCACAGGGTCCCCCGAGCACCGCCAGGAGGGATTCCTGAGCACAGAGCCAGGAGTCAGTCCCGAGCAATGCTAGGTCTGACACAAACACCGAAAGAAAAAAAAAAGGAAAAAGAAAGAGAAAGGAAGGAAGGACAGACTGATGGACACTGGTGGCCCATGCATGGCCGGTCCAGCCGCCGTCCCCCACGCTCTGGAGGGGGCCTCCCCGACAGCGCCAGGCTCTCACCGTCGGACTTGCGGGACCCGACCTCTGCCCTCGGGTTGGCACCCCTGGGACAGCAAACCAGCACCCCGGGAGAAACTGAGGAAAGACACGAGAGCGTGGGCCTGAGAAGTGGTCAGGACCAAGACCGGCCCTTCTGGGCAGCCCTGCCCGCTGGCAGCGACGCCCCCTACAGGGCGCCCCCAGGCACACCAGCAAGGCCTTGCAGTGGCACCGCTTAGGAGGAATGGGCGGGACATGGCCGGGGCGCAGAGCGGTGCCCTCGGAGACAGGCTGTCCCCTGCACCCTGATTGAAAGTGACCCTGGTGCCATGGGTCTCGGCGTGGAGGGAGGACAAAATTCACCAGCCCGGGTCAAGAAAAGTAGGCCACGGGGGCTGGAGCAATAGCACAGCGGGGAGGGCGTTTGCCTTGCACGCGGCCGACCCGGGTTCGATCCCCGGCATCCCCTAGGGTCCCCCGAGCACCGCCAGGAGTGATTCCTGAGTGCAGAGTCAGGAGTCAGCCCTGAGCATCACCGGGTGGGACCCAAAAAGCCAAAAAAAATTCAAAGAAAACTCAAACCCCAAACCAACCAAATAAAAACACCCCAAGAAAGCGGGCCAAGATCTCAGGGTGGGCATCACAAGAGGCCGGGGGCCCCAGAGGGCAGCGGTGGGCCAGGCTGGGGGGGGGGTGAGCCCCAGACAGCTCAGATCTCGGGACCGGGATGGGGCAGCCCTGTGTTCTGCCCAGTTCCTGGGTGCAGGCACCCCTCACCCCTGCGCCAGCTGCCCGGCCACGGGGCTGCCTCTCCCCTGTCCCCTGTGGTCGGTGGCTTAGCTGGACAGTGGCCGTTGCAGGACAAACCAGGAGTTTTAGACTTCGGGCCCTTTGGACGCGGCGTTTGAGAGTGACCCTGGAGGACGGAGCATTGACAAACGCCTCGTGGGTGCGTGAGGGACGCCTGTGCCCCCCCGCCCGAGGAGGGGCGAGAGGGAGCGGCCGTTTCCCGTGGGGATGGCGGGAGACGACCCGTGTGACCCGGGGGGCAGAAGGGACCGAGGGCGCCGAGGCGGCTGGTACGGAGAGACACGACTACCCATCGCCCTGGAAACTCCAGAGAGGAAAAAGACTTTCCTTTATTACAACCGGGGGGTGGGGGGTGGGGGTCCGGGAATAGCTCCCGGGACGAGAAGGGACAGAGAGCGACCTCCAGGAGGGCCGCCCGCAGGACAGCGCCGAAGCGTGTCTCCTGGAACCTTCTAGAACATTCTAGAACCTTCTCCAACTGCACACCTGCCCCTCCCCCGAAACCTGTCCTGCTGGGCTGCCTGGCAGGTGGGCGGAGGTGAATTATGTGACCCTGTGTGGCTCCCGACCCCGGACTCGTTTCTCTACAGGACAAGGGTCAGTGGGCAGAACGGGGCTTCTCACCGCGGCCGCCTTGGACAATTCTGTCCGTCCGTGCCCGAGACCCTCTGGCGCTGGTCGCCCGCAATGCCTGGCCCCCTCCTGTGTCCCCTCCTGACTCTCCGAGTCCGGCTGGCCTCCCCCAGCTGTGCAGTGCTCTTCACCGGGGAGAAACGGTAATACAAAAGGGCAAAGGTGAGAGACGTCCTCTACGTGGTCAGTTCCTCCCGGCACGGACTCGGGCGTCCTCTGTGCCCGGCCCGGCCCCGGCGCCCGGGCGGGGGGGACAGCGCTGGCGAGGGCAGGGCCAGGGCGGGCGGCTCCCTCCCGCCGCTGCCCGCCCGTCCATCTGTCCGTGTCCGTCGTCCGTCAGTCCTGCGTCCCCGGGCCGGCGGTCAGCAGCTGCTGTTTCGGAACTCGCCGTTCTCGGTGATGGACAGCTTGGTGGGGTTGGTCGGGGACACGCCGTTGCGGGCCTGCACGCTGTAGCGCTCCTTCACCTGCGTCAGCGCACTCATGAGCCGCGTGTTGGCCGAGTCCAGGGACAGGATGCGCTTCTCCTGAAACACAGTGATGGCGGGTCTGTGCCTGGGGCGGGCCCCACGCGGCCCCCCCACAACCCCCAACGCATGCCAACGCTCCGTCTCCCCGGCGGTCCGCTCGATCTCAGGCTCTGTTCTGCTTTCGCGCGCCTTTTCGGAGAGGCTGAGAGGTCCCACCTCCTGCCCCTCCGGGTGCTCCCGGCCACACACGGAGACTTAGAAATGGGGGCTGGAGCGACAGCACAGCGGGGAGGGCGTTGGCCTGGCACGCGGCCGAGCCGGGTTCGATCCCCGGCATCCCCGAGGGTCCCCCGAGCACCGCCAGGAGTGATCCCTGAGTGCAGAGCCGGGAGTCAGCCCTGAGCATCGCCGGGTGGGACCCAAAAAGTTAAAAAAAAAGAAAAAAGAAACGGGGCTGACAGAGAGAAGCGCCAGGCACCATGGCACAGCGCCACGCAGATGGAGAGCTCATCCCGGGATCCCAGACCCCCAAGAGGAGGGAGTCTCGGTCACCATGTGCACAGGAGGATCAAACTGGCAGCAGGGGACAGTGACTCACACGGTGAGGGGGCGTATTGGGGGACAGAGGTAGCAGCTCAGGCCGAGGGACCATGTGAATGTTGGGGGGGGGCGGGGGGGACGACACACAGGGACTCCGGAAACGCACACAGGGACACACACAATGGCACGAAGCTCCTGGACTCATTCCAGCTCAAGGGAGGGGGAGGGGTCCCCCGGGGAGGAAGTGTTCAGTGGACTTTCTTTTCTTTTTCTTTTTGGGTCACACCCAGCGATGCACAGGGCTGACTCCTGGCTCTGCGCTCAGGAATTACCCCTGGCGGTGCTCAGGGGACCCCATGGGATGCTGGGGATCGAACCTGGGTCGGCCGCCTGCAAGGCAAACGCCCTCCCCGCTGTGCTATCGCTCCAGGCCCTCAATGGACTTTCAAGTCTCTCAACAAACACCTGCTTTCCTCTCAAAAAGGTTTTTTTTGGTTTTTTTTTGACTCACACCCGGTGATGCTCAGGGCTGACTCCTGGCTCTGCACTCAGGGATCACTCCTGGAGGTGCTCAGGGGACCCTTTGGGATGCTGGGGATCGAACCCAGGTCGGCTGTGTGCCAGGCAGGCCAATGCCCTCCCCGCTGTGCTATGGCTCCGGCCTCTAGACCCAAAAGTTATCAAGCAAGGAAAGCTTCTCAGTAAACCCAGACGAGAAAAATATCCAGGAAGCGAAAAGGAGCACCTTTCCCCCGAGACCCCAGGAAAGGAAGTTCTCGAAATCCAAGCTTCTTTACACAACGCTGTTCTTAAAGAAAGTCAGCCTGACTACCGGTAAACGCCCGATTAATCTATTTTATATAAGTATATACCTGGGGGCATGTAGAAATGTATCAGGTGTGGGGGGGGGGGCTGGAGCGATAGCACAGTAGGGAGGGCGTTGGCCTTGCACGCGGCTGACCCGGGTTCGATTCCCAGCATCCCAAAGGGTCCCCCGAGCACCGCCAGGAGTGATCCCTGAGCTCAGAGCCAGGAGTCAGCCCTGAGCATCGCCGGGTGGGACCCAAAAAGCCAAAAAAGCAAAAAAAACAAAAGTCGAAAAGAAAAGTCGAGGGAGGGGTCTTCATTTACTTCATCTACTGCCCACTGAGTTAAGGCGCAGTGTGGTCCCCTGACCCCCGAGTGGGGAAACTACGTCACCCAACCCCACCAGACCCTCTCTCCGAATCAAACCCAGAGGCGGAAGAGGCAGACCCGAGGGGGCCTCAGGGAAGTGGGGTTCGGTGTTAGAGAGGCCTGGGACCCCCGAGCTGCGCCGGGCTGGCTCCCGGGCTCGCGGGGCAGGAGCTGGACAGGGCGGGAGGTCAGTGCGCGGGCGGCAGGTGGCTTGGCTAGACGGACGGGGTCTACCTGCCTGCCGGGACAATCTCATCTCCGCTTATGACCTGTAATTTAACAAGCGGAGACGTCACTCGGCGGGGAGCGAGGCTCCTTCTTGGCTCTCCCTGAGGGACACGGGGGGATGGGGGGCTGCAGGGGGCTGACGTGGCCGTGCCAAGGTTCCAGACGGGGCGACAGCTCACATGGAGGGGCGGAGTGTACAGAGAGGCCAGCAGGGCTCAGAAACGGCCGTTCCTTGGGGCTGGAACCAACACAGAGCGGGGAGGGCGTTTGCCTGGCACACGGCCGACCCGGGTTCGATCCCCAGCATCCCACAGGGTCCCCTGAGCACCGCCAGGAGTGATCCCTGAGTGCAGAGCCAGGGGTAACCCTTGAGCATCACTGGGTCCTCAGAGAGTGGCCAGCAGGGGCAGCTGGAGATGGACCTTCCAGACACTAACTGGTCAGCATGGGGTTCGATGCTGGTCAGGGGATTGATGCCCTGGGACTGTCCCCCACGTCCCCTGCGACCCCCCATGACCCTTGATCCAGCCACTGGGGCCCTTTTTTCTTTTTCATTTTGGGTCACACCCGGCAATGCTCAGGGCTGACTCCTGGCTCTAGACTCAGGAATCAGTCCTGGAGGTGCTCGGGGGACCCCATGGGATGATGGGGATCGAACCCGGGTCGGCCACGTGCCAGGTCAACGCCCTCCCGCTGTGCTATCGCTCCAGTCCCCTTTCCTCTTTATTATTATTATTATTTGGCTTTTTGGGTCCCACCCGGTGATGCTCAGAGCTGACTCCTGGCTCTGCACTCAGGGATCACTCCTGGCAGTGCTCGGGGGACCCCATGGGATGCCAGGGATCGAACCTGGGTCGGCCGTGTGCCAGGCCAGCGCCCTCCCCGCTGTGCTCTCGCTCCAACCCCCGGGCCCTTTTCTCCCATCCTGGAAGCTCATTTGATGGCCCCTGTCTCACTGGACACTGCAGCCCGCTGCGTGTGGCTCCCTCCACCTTTGCCCCCCGGTGCCCACAGCCCCGGTCACCCCTGTCCTCTGCAGCACGGGGCAACCAGCGGTCAGGACGGGAGACCCGGCCCAGGCCGCCAACCCCAGGTCCTGCGCGGGATGGACAAGCCTGAGTGCGAGACTCCTTTAGACACAGCCTGGGTCCTGCTCCTCCTCATCTCGCTACACTGAGCCCCGGAATGGGGTGACTGCGCACCCCCTTCTGGTTTCTAAGCTGCGGATATAGCCTGGAAGCGTCCAGGAGAGTTGCGTGACCCCTGCCCCCACTCTCGTCCACCCCCATCCTGGGTCCCCGCTCAGAGGTCCTATTTGAAAGGCCCAGGGCCCTTTGCCCCGACGCTCAGGGTGTCTGAGCATCAGAAACCGGGGTCCGCGAGTCTAGATACTGTGGCCACGCTGATGTCGTACCCCCGACGGCTGGGAGGGTCCCAAGGGGCAGGAAGGCTCCAAGCGGCTCCCCTGCCCACCTTCAACTCCTGAGCCCGGCAGGGGTGGGGGAGGGCGGGTAGGGGGTAATGGGGTGGCCCGGTCCGGCCCACAGACGCCTGCTGCGCCCACAGCTCAGGGCAGGCCCTGGCACTGAGGGGGATGCCTGCGGGCGGGCCTGGTGGTGCAGAGGGGAGGGGACCCGCCCAGTGGCCAGCCGAGTGGCACCCACAGCGCCCTGCTCGCTCTCGGCCAAACCACTGATGAGACAGAGGGAAACTGGGACCCCGTCCTGAGCCCCCCCAGAACGTCTCAGAAAGAAGCCGAACCCTCACTTCTGCCCCCCCGAAGAGCTGCTGGCTCACAGCCTGTGTCCGGGTCTGGGCCGGCAGGGAGGCACCGGGGATGGGCCACAAGACCACAAACGCCACAACCACATGATGGGCGGTGGGGGACCAGCTGGCGGACGCAGGGGACTGGCCGTCCCCCGGGTCCTGGGAAGGAGACGGGACACGCCCCCTCCCTGGCCCCCTCACCTGCGCGTCGATGATCTTCTGCTTGGCGTCGATGACGGCCTGCATCTCCGCGTGGTCCTTCTTCAGCTCCTCCTCCACTGCCATCAGCCTGCAGGGCAGGGGCGGGCGGGGGGCTCAGGGCCTCCAGTCGAGGGTGCGTGAGGGCAGGGGTCTAACCACTGGGAAACACTGCCCCACGATGCCCTGGCCTGGGGCACCCCTTTCTCCGCCCTCCACTCGGCGCGGCCCACCCATGAGGCTCTCCAGGAGGCCACCTGGACCTTGCTTCCAACACCTGAGCCCTCTGGGGCCTGTGCCCTGGCCTGGGACCCCCGGGGACAGCAGAGGGCCGGGGTCCGGCGCTGTGCACAGCCTTGGGGAACTGACCCCTCCGCTGCGACCTGTTCTGGTTTTGCTTTCTGGGTCCCACCGGCGATGCCCAGGGCTGGCTCCCGGCTCTGCACTCAGGGATCACGCCTGGCGGGGCTGGGGGACCCTAGGGGACGCCGGGGATCGAACCCGGGTCGGCCGCGTGCCCGGCCAGCGCCCTCCCCGCTGGGCCATCGCTCCGGCCCCTGCGTGGCCTTTCCTTGCTGAGCGGAAGGAACAGTGATGAGGTCTCCGAGGCCAGCGCCGTGCTGACCCCTCGCGCGCTGACCCGGGCCCCGGGGAGGTGTGCGAAGCCCCTGCCGTGGCTGGGGCTGTGGGACGGGGGAGAAGGTGTGTCTCTCGCCCCCTGGGCCCCACTGCCCGCTTGCTGGACCCCGTGACCGGGAAACTCCCGTCCGTGTCTCGGGATTCTGAACCGGGTGAGCTGTGGGCGGAGCCACGGGGGCGGGGCAGGCGGGATGTCACGGCGGGGGCGGGGCTTCACGGCGAAGGGCGGGGCTTCACGGTAGGGGGCGTGGTGTCGGGCATCAAGGCGGGGGCGGGGCGTCACGGTGAGGGGCGGGGCTTCGTGGTAGGGGCAGGGCGTCATGGTGAGGGGCGGGGCGCCCGTGCAGGGGCGGGGCGTCGGGCATCACGGTTAGGGGCAGGGGTCACGGCAGGAGCAGAGCGTTACTGTGGGGACGTGTCTTCGGGCATAACGGTGGGGGTCAGGGTGTCAGGGCGGGGCTGGGGCTGCACGGTGGGGGCGGGGCGTCATGGTACGGGGCAGGGTGTCAGGGCGGGGCATCATGTCAAGGGGCGGGGCGTCACGGGCGTGACGTCATCACAAGGGGCGTGTTATCGTGGTAGGGGCGGGGCGTTGAGCATCACTGCAGGGCGGGGCGTCATGCCAAGGGGCGGGGTACCAGGTCGGGGTATCGCAGCGGGAGCGTGGCGTCACGGTGGGGGCGTGGCGTCATGTCAAGGGGCGAGGCGTCACGGCGGGGGCGGGGCGTTGAGTATCAAGGCAGGGGCGTGGCGTCATGTCAAGGGGCGGGGCATCAGGTCAAGGGGCGTGGCGTCACGGTGGGGGCGGGGCGTTGAGCATCAAGGCAGGGGCGTGGTGTCATGTGAAGGGGCGGGGCATCAGGTTAAGGGGAATGGCGTCACGGTGGGGGCGGGGCGTTGAGCATCAAGGCAGGGGCGTGGCGTCATGCCAAGGGGCGGGGCATCACGTCAAGGGGCGTGGCGTCACGGTGGGGGCGGGGCGTTGAGCATCAAGGCAGGGGCGTGGCGTCATGTGAAGGGGCGGGGCATCAGGTTAAGGGGCATGGCGTCACGGTGGGGGCGGGGCGTTGAGCATCAAGGCAGGGGCGTGGTGTCATGTCAAGGGGCGTGGCGTCACGGTGGGGGCGTGGCGTCATGTCAAGGGGCGGGGCATCACGTCAAGGGGCGTGGCGTCATGTCAAGGGGCGGGGCATCGGGTCAAGGGGCGTGGCGTCACGGCGGGGGCGGGGCGTTGAGTATCAAGGCAGGGGCGGGGCGTCATGCCAAGGGGCGGGGCATCAGGTTAAGGGCGTGGCGTCACGGTGGGGGCGGGGCGTTGAGCATCAAGGCAGGGGCGGGGCGTCATGTCAAGGGGCGTGACATCACAGTGGGGCGTGGCATCAGGTCAAGGGGCGTGGCGTCACGGCGGGGGCGGGGCGTTGAGCATCAAGGCAGGGGCGGGGCGTCATGCCAAGGGGCGGGGTACCAGGTCGGGGCATCGCAGTGGGGGCGGGGCGTCATGCCAAGGGGCGGGGCGTGGCGGCGGGGGGGGCGGGGCGCCCACCTGCTGATGATGCCCTTCATCTGGCTGTCCTTCTCCTCCTGCTGCCGCCGCAGCCGCTCCTCGCTGCCCTCCAGCCGCGCCCGGTACTCCAGCAGCAGCTTCTGCATCTGCTGCTCCTGCACCAGCAGGCGCCGCTCGTACTCCTCCAGCCGCCGGCTCGACACGCGCAGCCGCTCCTTCAGCTTGGCGATCTCCTGCTCGTACTGGGCGGGGCGAGAGGCCGGGGAGCCCGGTGAGCAGCGCCCGGCGCCCTTCCCGCTCTCCCCCGCTGCACCTCGTCCCGGGCCACCCCTCCTGGGCTGCGCACCCGCCGGCCCCCGAGCCCAGGTCTCTGTGCGGACGGCACCCGGGCGCTGGAGAGCGTCTCTCCACGCGGGTCTGGGGCGACTGCCACAGGCGGGGGGGAGCAGAGAGCGGGGATCCCAGAGGGGCTTGGACAGGGGCTGGAGCAATGGCACAGCGGGGAGGGTGCTTGTCTTGCGCGCGGCCGACCTGGGTTCGATTCCCAGCATCCCCTAGGGTCCCCTGAGCACCGCCAGGAGGAATTCCTCAGTGCAGAGCCAGGAGGAACCCCTGTGCATCGCCGGGTGTGACCCAAAGAGAAAAACAACAACAACAACAACAATAATAACAAAAAAACCCAGAGGGGCTTGGACAGCTCTTGCTGGACACAATAAACCCAGCTCTGAGCAGCAGTAGGGACCTTCCAGAGATAACCATGCCCGTGGGGGAGGGGCACAGCACAACAGTGAAGCCCTCCCCTGCCAGGTTGTCCTCACCAGGGCCCCTCGAAGGGGGGGGGGGTGAGTCTCCCTCCCCACCCCAAGCAGGACCCCAGCAGCCAAAAACCTCCAGAACCCAGCCACAGCCATGCTCAAGGCCACTCTCCATGAGTTCGGATGAGCCTCACGCATGAAGGAACCAGCAGAGGAACCCACGTGTGCGGGACCCCGGGCTGAGACCTCCAAGCCTGCTCGGATCGGGACTGGGCCTCCTCCCCCCAGCTCCCCAGTTTTCCAGGAGCTTGGCAGTCACACCCACAAACTGGCCCGGCACCATGTAATCCCACCAACGGCCAAGATCCAGAGACTATAAACCAAAGTTCCCGGAAGAGAGCGGTGCAGAACTTCCCGGAGTGTGTGGCCACATTTGCGGCCGCACGACCTCTTCTACTCCAGCCCACTTGCGTACCAAAAGTAGCACCCATTGGTTTGGTTTTAACATACTTGCTTGTATTCTCTTATATTTGGGCTTAAATGGCTCCAGAGTGAAAGACAACGACCGGCACACACTTCCCTCTCACTGTGCTCGGTGGTAGGAATGCAATGAACTATTGTGAACTACTCTATGAAAGTAAAATATAAAAAAATAAAATTGCAAGAATAAAAAAAAAGGAGTGAAGCCCAACTGGTGAATCAGTGGGGGGTGGGCAGGAAAGCAGGCTGGGGAGGAGGGGTCTCGAGGGAGGAGGGTGAGAGTCTAGATCTTCTCTGGCTCTTCCACTGTGGGACCAAACAACGTGGGAATCGTCAGGACACTGGCAACAGTCAAAGGCTTCTCGGGATGGGCTGAGACCCAAAACAAACTCAGAACCATAGAGCCTGGGGTCAGACCGTCCAGCGGAGAGGGCACTTGCCCCACACGTGGCCAGCCCAGGTTCGATCCTTGGCACCCCGTCTGGGCCCTGATCCCCGCCAGGAGTGATCCCTGAGCACCGCTGGGTGTAGCACCCGGGTGAGAGAAGAGAATCATCCCCGGGGTCCTCGTGAAAACGAGTCCACTGTGAGTCTGGACTTGGCAGGAAGTAACAACTAACCAGAAACAACTAACCGGAAGAACCCGAAACACTCCTGCAAAAGGAAAAGGGGCTGGAGCGATAGCGGGGAGGGCGTTTGCCTTGTCTGCAGCCGACCTGGGTTCAATCCCCGGCATCCCCTAGGGTCCCCTGAGCATCGCCAGGAGGGATTCCTGAGTGCAGAGCCAGGAGTGACCCCTGTGCATCGCCAGGGGTGACCCAAAAATCGAGGAAAAAAAGGGAACGAAATGGGCGATGCTCTTCACAGTGTGGCCGTCGGTATAAGGGGGCGGGGGGCAAGTTCTAGCCCAGCCTGATGGCTCTTCCTACACAGTCACCTTGTCCTGCGGGCTCACCCCGGACAGAGAGACAGACAGACAGGCCGGGGGAAGGTACCTTCTCGGCGTGCTTGGCTTCATCCTGCACTTGCTCCACGTCCTCCGCGTCCTCCTCGTACTGCCCGTTGTTGAGGACCCAGGCTGCTGTCCTCTCCACGGGGGACATGGTGGCCGAGTCCACGGGCGACTGCACCTGCATCAGAAACGCAGGCTGGAGTTTCCCCCGGCGCCTCCCCTGGCTCAGCTGTTCTGGGATTACAGAAGGTGGGAGCAGGGAGTCTAACCCCCCCAACCCCCACTCTGGCTCCACTCCCATTTATAATTTTTTTTTTTTTTGCTTTTTTGGGTCCCACCCGGCGATGCTCAGGGCTGACTCCTGGCTCTGCACTCAGGAATCACTCATGGCAGTGCTCGGGGGACCCTAGGGGAAGCCGGGGATCGAACCTGGGTTGGCTGTAGACAAGGCAAACGTCCTCCCCGCTGTGCTATCGCTCCAGCCCCCTCCAGTCTCCTCCATCCCACTTCAAGCCCCATTCTTGACTCCTGGACACAGTTCCCTACAGTGGGGGCTGGCTCAGGGAGAAAGAAAAGCCATTTGCAGGAGAATAAACCATACTATTCGCTAGCCCGGTCTCCCTCCAAACACAGATCAAGGACTTACCACTGTTCAAACATGATGGCCACTTAGTACTTGTATTGCAAACCATAACACCCAAAGGGAGAGAGAGAGAGAGAGAGAGAAAGAGGGAATGTGCCTGCCACAGAGGCGGGGTGGGATGGGGGGTGGGGGGTGGGAGGGATACTGGGAACATTGGTGGTGGAGAATGGGCACTGGTGGAGGGGTGGGTGTTTGATCATGGTATGACTGAAACATAGGAAAGTTTTTAAGTCTGTAACTGCATCTCATGGGCTGGAGCGATAGTACAGCGGTAGGGCATTTGCCTTGCACGCAGCCAACATGGCCGACCCGAGTTCGATTCCTCTGCCCCTCTCAGAGAGCCCGGCAAGCTACCGAGAGTATCTCGCCCACACGGCAAAGCCTGGCAAGCTCCCCGTGGCGTATTCGATATGCCAAACACAGTAACAACAAAGTCTCCAATGGAGATGTTACTGGGCCCGCTCGAGCAAATCGATGAACAACGGGAGGACAGTGACAGTGAACTGCATCTCACAGTGATTCATTAAAAGAAACACAAAAAAATAATGCAAACCACAGAGCAACACCCATCCCCTCCGCCAAAACCATCAAAGAAACCACCAACCAACTGCTCCTTTACCCAGAGATCCAAATGCCCGACTACAACCACCACAGGTGCCTGCCCGGGAATGGACACACCTGCTGAGCCCAGAGCTGAACAAGAGGTTCCCCTGGACCATGAAAGAGGAGCCCGTGGATGCCAGTGAGGCCCGGCATCTGCTTCCAGGGCAGAGGTCGCTGATGCGATTCCCACACAAGTCACTCCGGAGAGCCGTTTCTCCACTAGATAATGCAAGAAACGCCAAAAAGGTCTTCAATCTCCATCCCCACCACTCTACCGGGTCTGTTCCAAGCACTTCACCCCTTCCTAACAACCTGCATTATTTCCCCTCACCAAGATCGGCATCATCTAATTAACTGGGGAGCGATGGCACAGCGGGGAGGGCGTTGGCCTGGCACGCGGCCGACCCGGGTTCGATCCCCGGCATCCCCTAGGGTCCCCCGAGCACCGCCAGGAGTGATTCCTGAGTGCAGAGCCAGGAGTCAGCCCTGAGCATCGCCGGGTGAGACCCAAAGAGCCAAAAAAAAAAAAAAAGAAAGAAAAAAATTAGTAGGTTTGTGGCCCCAGCAATAGGACAGCAAGTAGGGTGTTTGCTTTGCACGTGGCTGACCCGGGTTCGATCCCCGGCATCCCATGGGGTCCCCCCAAGCACCGCCAGGAGTGATTCCTGAGTGCAGAGCCGGGAGTCAGCCCTGAGCATCGCTGGGTGGGACCCAAAAGGGAGGAGGAGCAGGAGGGGGAGGAGGGAGAGAAGAGTCATGGGACTGGACAGGCTATCTGTCCAGCAGGGAGGGCGTTTGCCTCACACGTGGCCAACCGGGTTTGATCCCCGGCATCCCATGGGGTCCCCCGCGCACCACCAGGAGTGATTCCTGAGTGAAGAGGCAGGAGGAACCCCTGAGCATCGCCTGTGTGACCCGAAAAGGAAAAAAAAAAGTCGCTAGGAGGCAGAGCTGAGGGCTACGCCTGGCGATGCTCAGGGCTGACTCCTGGCTCTGCACTCAGGGATCACCCCTGACTCAGGGGACTGTCTGGGGTGGAGGGGAACGTGTCCACATCAGAAGCGTGCGAGGGACATGCCCCAACCACTGTACACCTCTCCTGCTCCCAACAACTTGCCTGGTCTGCCAGGCCTTTATGCCAAGTGTGCGGACATGCTTGCCCCCTACTGGCGTGTACAGGCAGAGCAGAGAAACGGGGCTGAGGTATTTAGTAGCTGGCTGAGAAGGAAGAAGAAAGGGGGTTGGTTGGCTTTTATCGGCCGGATCGACCCTGTGAGAGGTCAGGACGCTGCTTCAAGAGCACTGTTCAGAGACAGGATCTAAGGGAGACGTCTGCCTTTGTAATGTATGAACCGATGACAGGGGCAGAGAGCTGCTTGTGTGAATTAAGGATGATCTCAATGAAGATTTATATTTAATTTATAAAGGTAAAGGTAAAGGCCCTCCCGTTGATCGTCGATTTGCTCGAGCGGGCCCAGTAACGTCTCCATTGGAGACTTTGTTGTTACTGTGTCTGGCATATCGAATACTCTCGGTAGCTTGCCGGGCTCTCCGAGAGGGGCGGAGGAATCGAACTCGGGTCGGCCATGTTGGCCGCGTGTAAGGCGAACGCCCCACCACTATGCTATTATTTTATATATTTGGCTGGAGTGATAGCACAGTGGTAGGGCGTTTGCCTTGCACACAGCCAGCCCGGCAGAGCCGGGTTCGATTCCTCCGCCCCTCTCGGAGAGCCCGGCAAGCTACCGAGAGTATCTCACTCACACGGCAAAGCCTGGCAAGCTCCCCGTGACGTATTCAATGTGCCAAACACAGTAACAACAAGTCTCAAAAATGGAGACGTTACTGGGCCTGCTCGAGCAAATCGATGAACAACGGGAGGACAGTGTTTGTTTTCATATATTTATATATTTATAATAATCTGGGGCTGGAGCGATAGCACAGTGGGTAGGGCATTTGCTTTGCATGCGGCCGACCCGGGTTCGATTCCTCCATCCCTCTCGGAGAGCCCAGCAAGCTACCAAGAGTATCCCGCCTGCATGGCAGAGCCTGGCAAGCTCCCCGTGGTGTTTTCGAGATGCCAAACACAGTAACAACAAGCCTCACCGTGGAGACAGGCTAGAGTGATAGCACAGCGGGAAGGGCGTCTGCCTTGCACGAGGCCGACCCGGGTTCGATCCCTGACATATATAGGGTCCCCCGAGCACCGCCAGGAGGGATTCCTGAGTGCAGAGCCAGGAGCAAACCCTGAACATCGCCGGGTGCAGCCACCCCGTACTCAAAAAAAAAAAAAAAAAGCAAAACAGAGGCTGAAAGGGGTCAAATGTTAAAATCTGCACCCCGCCCCAAAAATCCCATGTCTATGAATTGTTTCCCTCGATTTCCTTTGCTTCCTCCTCCTCCTCCTGCTCCTCCTCCTCCTCCTCCTCCTCCTCTCAGAAGATTCAGGCCAACGGAAACAACCCTTTGTGTGAAGACACAGATGGAATCTTCATGGGACAAAGCGAGTGATAATTCTGGCTGCCCAAGCGACAAACCCCGCACAAAAATGCCGGAACTTCAGGGAGGAGGTAACTTCCCCCCACACAGTTTGCAATTAAAATATGTAAAGGAATCTGCCTTAAAAAAGGAAAAAAAGGTGCTGAGAACACAGGACTTCTGGGAATGGTGTGTGTGTGTATGTGTGTGTATGTGTGTGTGTGTGTGTGTGTGTGTGTGTGTGTGTAAGCAAGCCAGAAACTGAAGATAACAGCGAGGGGAGGGAAATCACCAAGGTCAGAGAGAATAAATGAAGCTTTCTAGGAAGTCGGTGTAGGGGGTTGGAAGCCTACACAATCACAACACCAGGGGTTTGCTCCCACTAAAATCACACACTAGGGGCCGGAGCGATAGCACAGCGGGGAGGGCGTTTGCCTGGCACGCGGCCGACCCAGGTTCGATCCCCAGCATCCCATAGGGTCCCCCGAGCACCGCCAGGAGTGATTCCTGAACACAGAGCCAGGAGTCAGCCCTGAGCATTGCCGGGTGTGACCCAAAAAGCAAAAAAAAAAAAACAAAAAAAACCCCCCCAAAAACCCGAGAGTGCCCAACGGGACACTGTCCTCTCTCCTGGGCTCTGGCCCTGCACACCCAGTCCTGGTGATGTAGGCAGGCAGGGAAGGCCCCTTCCCAGGCGATGGCAGTGAATTTTCTGGGAACTAATAGCTCTGAAGTTGCAAAGGCCAACCTTGCAGAAAACAGGAACTCAGGCCTGAGAAGACCCTCACCTGGGCCAGCAACGGACCCTGAGGAGATGGGACCCCTCCCCATGAAGGAAATTCCTAGAATACTCTCGGACTTCTTCCTTCATGCGATTAACTTTAGTGACTCAGCCCAGAGAAGCCCGGGTTCTCTCTTGAGTGCATCTCTCTCTCTCTCTCTCTCTCTCTCTCTCTCTCTCTCTCTCTCTCTCTCTTTCTCTCTGTCTCTCCCCCATCCACACCTTCAAAACCTCCAAATAAATCTGCTTTACTGGGGCAGGAGTGATAGTCCAGCAGGTAAGGCATTTGCCTGGCATGTGGCCAACCCGGGTTCGATCCCCGGCATCCCATAGGGTTCCCCAAGCACCACCATGAATCATTCCTGAGTGCAGAGCCAGAAGTCAGCCCTGAGCATCGCTGGGTGGGACCCAAAAAGCCAAAAAAAAACCCCCCCAAAAAAACCCCAAAACTGCTTTACTTCACTGCCCTGGGCTGGAGCGATAGGCCAGCAGGTAGGGCGTGTACCCTGCTACGAGGCCGACCCGGGTTTGATTCCTACGTCCCTCTCGGAGAGCCTGGCAAGTTCCCGAGAGTATCCCGCCCGCATGGCAGAGCCTGGCAAGCTCTTCATGGCATATTCGAGATGCCAAACACAGTCACGACAAGTCTCACAATTTGTTGTGAAACGCGACTAGTGCCCGCTGGAGCAAATCGAAGAACAACAGGAGGCCAGCGGCCAGTGGCCAGTGGCCTTCACTGCCCGTCTACTCCTGCAATTCCTTTCTTCCCAGCGAGACAAGAACCCAGCAACCCTGGGTCCTCGGATGGCGGAGGCAGATGGGGACAAAGTGACCGTTTCTCCTGCCTGGGGCCTCATCAGCGCTGGACCACTGGACATCACGGGGTGGGGGGGTCTTTGGGCCTGCTGGGGAAGGCCGAGCGGCGGTGGGCACTCACCCCCACGGGCTGCGTCTGCTGCCTCTGGATGGCGCGCACCTTGGGCACGGGGCTCTCCCGGGAGGAGGAGGAGGGCGGGCGGGCGCGGCCCCCGTGCTGGGCAGGCTCGGTGGTGGCGCTGCGCAGGGAGGCGCTGGACGGCGGGACCGGGGCCGGGCCAGGTGCGGCGGTGGGCGCCTTGGTGCGGGCACCGGGCGCGCGGGGGGCCGGCGCTGTCGTGGCGGGGAGGCGCGGGGGGCGCGGTGCGCTCCTCCAGGCTGCTGGAGCTGGGCGCGCTGAGCCGGAGGTCGTCGCTGTTGCTGCGGGAGCTGGCCGTGCTCAGGTTCTCCAGGCTGGAGCCGGCCGAGGCGGGCGCGACCGGGTGGCCGAGCTGGTACACGGGGTTCTGGAAGGCCAGCGGCTGCAGGGCCGGGCGCAGGGGCCGGCGCGCCTGCGGGGCGCTCTGCGGGGCGCCCGGGGCCTCGCGCGGCAGTCGGACCCCGCCGGCCACGGGTGCCACCGACAGCTGGCTGCCCGCCAGGCGCACCGGGGCGTCGGGCAGCAGCCCCGGGAGCTCGGCCGGAGCGTCCTGCAGGTCCATGAGCGACACGCTGCGCCCGTTGGGCAGCCCGGCCTCCTTCTCGTCCGGGTCCGAGTAGCTCATGCTCTGCGACGAGGCCTGCTGCACCAGGAGCAGGGTCTTCCCGCGGCAGTAGCTGTCCCCGGGGTCCGGGCCGGGCGACTGCAGCCGCGGCCGGTCGCTGTGGAGGAGAGGGAGCGGGAGAGGTGGGCTGGGGGGGACCCTGGTGACGTGCCACAAGGCGCCCAGGACACACCTGGTGAGGCCCGGGAGATGCCACCCAGTGCTGGGGAATCCAAGCTGGTCGGAGAGGGCATAGGCCTTGCCCCCGAGCATGGCCGGTGTGCCCCGAAAAGCAGAAAAAGGGTCAAACAACCCCACAACCCCACAGGGGTAGGAGCGAGAGCACAGAGGGGAGGGCCATTGGCCTTGCACGCGGCCGACCAAGGTTCGATCCTCGGCATCCCATAGAGAACCCCGAGCACCGCCAGGAGTGATTCCTGAGCGCAGAGCCAGGAAGAACCCCTGAGCATCGCCAGGTGTGACCCAAAAATCATAAAAACAAAACAAACCCTCCCCCGCCAATAAAGACTTGGGGGTTCAGAGTGATAGTCTAGCGGGGCGGGTATTTGCCTTGTACGCAGCCAACCCGGGTTCGATTCCCAGCATCCCATATGGTCCCCCGAGCACCGCCAGGAGTGATTCCTGAGCGCAGAGCCAGGAGGAACCCCTGAGTGTCGCCAAGTCTGACCCAAAAAGCAAAACAAAACAAAACAAAACAAAACCCCCCACTATAACCACTTGGAATTGTGCAATTGCGCAAGCCTGGAATGGCCTCCCTGGCTGGGAGTACCAGTTCTGTTCACACCACCCCAGGACGACCCTGAGCCCTCTGGCCTGGCAAAGCCAAACTAGACCACGGGGCACGTTTGCAGCACGGACGCATCGGATGGATGTTCTCTGGGAAATGAATATCCTATGCCTACAGCAGTCTGAGACAATGGGATCGGACGGTTCGATCCAGCTATCATCTTATTTATTTTTGGTTTGGGGGCCGTCCCCGGCGATGCTCAGGGCTCTGGGCCCAGGAGTCCCTCCCGGCGGTGCTCTGGGGAACTGAACCCGGGCGAGGCGGGAGCCCTCCCCGCGCCCCAGGACTCGACTTGACTGTCGGAAAAGAATTCTCCGCATGAGTGAGACAAGCCTGTCTCTGCCCCTTCTCTTGCATCGCCCTGGGGTACCTGTCCGAGGGGTCCTCGAAGATCTTCTGCAGCCCGGAGGAGACGCTGCCGCTGACGTTGGGGCTGGAGCTGTGCTCCGTAAACCGCCGCAGCTGCTGCTGGATGGGTGTGGGGTTCGTCAGCGACTTGGTGATGTCGGCCAGGACCCGGGGCAGGGGTCCCAGCTTGGCCACGGTCGCCTGTAGGAAGGAATTTTCACCCTAATTGGATTAGACGCGGATCCAGCAGGGAGGGTGGGTGGGTGGGTGGGTGGGGGGCGGGGGAGAGCCGGTCGTGGCGGAGGGGGCGTGCAGGTTGGACGGGAAGGCGGATGGTCGCGGGTAGGGGTGCGGGCCCGGGATGCAGTGTTATGGGCAGCACAGCCACGGCGTCGAGATGGATGGATGGATGGATGGATGGATGGATGGAGACGAGACGGGGCGGGCGCAGCAGGCGTGGAGGGAAGAAAGGAAACAGCAGTTAGGGTGACGCAAATCAAAACGCAAAGGCCTGCTCCGGGCAGCCAGCCGCCAACAGAAACGGGCATGGGCATGCAAAGCCAACGCTCGCTGTTGGGGGCGGGGGCGGGGTGCGCCCCGCAGGGTCATGCATTCCCTGGGCCGCTCCCGGAGGAGGAAGGAGATGCTGGGGCGGGGGGGGGGGGACACACAAGCGCATGCGGGGGTGCCAGGAGGGGCCGCATGCGGGAGGCGGGTGTGGCGGGCACGCCCCGCCCTGGGAACCCTTTGGCCCCCGTTTGAGGCCAGCATCGACGGCCTGAACAGTCAGAACCGGGGCGAGTCTGGGAGACTCGGGGTCTCCGGGTCCTCTCACGGAGATCGAGAAGGACAAAGTGCACCCTGCAAGGACCCTGACCCTGAGTCCCCAGCCTGGCCCACCCACCCGGCAGCCCCCAGCTTCCCCGAACTGGCTGTTTCCTTCCAGTCACTGATTTTTCTTTGGGGGTGGGGAGGTCCTTAAGTCTCCTCATGTTCCCCCCCCACACTCAGGGGTACAGGCACCTGAACTGGCCTCTGCGGAGGGAACCCCCTCAGCACGTGACCCCCCTCAAACCACGCCGGCGGTCTAGAACTGTTCCAGAACATCTGAGAAGTGTTCTAGAGTGTTCTAGAAGTAAAGAGACCGTCCCTGGTGCTGGGAGAAGATGTAACATAATTCCCCCCCCCCCCCTTTTTGGGTCACACCCGGCGATGCACAGGGGTCATCCCTGGCTCTGCATTCAGGAATCACTCCTGGTGGTGCTCAGGGGGCCATGTGGGATGCTGGGAATCGAACCCGGGTTGGGTGCGTGCAAAGCCAACGCCCTCCCTGCTGTGCTATCGCTCCAGCCCTGATGGAACATTCTTGGACCAGCTGACAAGCACTCCAGAGCTGATCTCTCTTAAAAGGGTTTATTCCCTGGCCCCCAATTTTACTGGAAGTCTTTTTTTTGGGGGGGGGGTCACACCCAGCATAGCACAGGGGTTATTCCTGGCTCATGCACTCAGGAATTATTCCTGGCAGTGCTTGGGGGACCATATGGGATGCTGGGAATCGAACCCGGGTCGACCAGATGCAAGGCAAAAGCCCTACCCGCTGTGCTATTGCTCCAGTCTCTCCTGAAGAGATTCTAACACACTAAAAGTAAAAGGCCCTCCCGTTGATCATCGATTTGCTCGAGCGGGCCCAGTAACGTCTCCATTGGAGACTTTGTTGTTACTGTGTTTGGCATATCGAATACGTCACGGGGAGCTTGCCAGGCTCTGCCGTGCGGGCAAGATACTCTCAGCAGCTTGCCGGGCTCTCCGAGAGGGGCGGAGGAATCGAACTCGGGTTGGCCGTGTTGGCTGCGTGCAAGGCAAACGTCCTACCGCTGTGCTACCGGTACACTACTGCACATTTATAATGTACCCGGCGCCGACAAAACCATTACCAGCTAACGTCCTAATAACGCCAGTCACCACTTATTAGACTGGGCCTATGACAAAATATTCTCTTCACATAACTCCAGAAGGAAGGAAACGGTTGGTATGGCACCCACCTATTAATGGATATTATTGTTATTATTAATATGACTTATAACATTCTTAGATTGTAGAAAAGGAATGCCTACAACAGGAACTGCATGAAGCCTACAGCAGGAACTGCATGAAGCCTACAGCAGGAACTGCACTGAAGTCACATCTGCAGAGAAACTAAACATCAGGATTTTCAGATCCCACATAACGGGAAGCACTTGGTTCCATAAAATAATCTGGTGAACTATGTAGCAAAAAAATCATATTGTGGAGATTGTACAGTGGGGAGGGCACTTGATCCCCCCAGCACCCCATACGGCTCTCTAAGCCCACCAAGGGGTGTGTGCCCCCTAAAAAGAAACAACCTGGGGGGCTGGAGTGATAGCACAGCGGGGAGGGCGTTTGCCTTGCAACGCGGCCGACCCAGGTTCGATTCCCAGCATCCCATATGGTCCCCTGAGCACCGCCAGGGGTGATTCCTGAGCGCAGAGCCAGGAGTAACCCTTGAGCATCGCCAAGTCTGACCCCAAAATCAAAACAAATAAAATAAAATAAAAATAACCTACAGGGGAAAGCTGATGAATGGTCTTGGTATTTTTCAATTCTACGCTTCTGTTTGGCTATGGTTCTCTGAGACTTGATCTCCTCCTCCCTACGCGAATAAGGCTGCACGCACCAATACCGGGTGAGAGCTTCCAGGCAAGTCTCAAAGACTCTACTTAGCCCGAAATGCCATTAGTTTAGGTCATTCCTTAAAAATGTTTCTAATTGCCCGGCCTTTTAGGGTTTCCTGGTCTGCGGGGCACAGTCATTTATCAGCAATGACGACCGTTTCCGCTGCAGGACAGAGGGTGCTTTCACACAGAGCCTGGCTCTCCCGAGACACCCGGGCAGCTCAGGCCTGGAAGGTAAGGCTGTCGCCCGTCCACGTTACCTTATCCAGCTGGGACACCACCTCCCAGAGCAAGGAATGCAGGACGGAGAGCTCCCGGCCCAAGTCCACGTAGCCATCGAAGCCGGGGGTGTTGGAGATGGTGTCGGGGTTGGAGATCTCCAGGAGGAAGCGCTTCATGCCACCCCACTCATGTTCCAGGAAGTCGTTCATGAATGCCATGTATTCTTCTTTGTTTCCAAATCTGCAGAACAAGGAGAGGAACCCGGGAGAAGAGTTGATGATGCAAGGAACGGACTTTCCAGAGAGCGATGAAAAGAGAGTGTGAGAAAGAACTGTGTGTAACTCGGATCTCAAGAACTTGGGGCTGGCGGGCCACCCCAGGTGGGAAAAGGTGCCGTCCCACGGTCTGTTTCCCATGGCGGCTTGGGGCCTGCCATCTTCCAGAGGCCAAAAGCCAGGTAGGGGCCTGCAGTGACAAGGCACGCGGGGCCTCACCGTATGGGGGTGGAGCCGGCCCTTTCCTCCTCCATCCCAGTGAGACCCCGAGTTGCTGCCCGCAAACAGCCCCCTCTGGCTCCTGATCAAGCTGTTTAACGGCCATGAACCCAGAGACCCAGAAACAAATCTCGGAACCCAGCAGCTTCGGGGAGAAATCTCTCCAGATTTAATTATTAAAATTTCAGAATTCCAAAAATGTGTGGGCGCTACTATGGCTGTGCAACATCATGTGCTATTCATAACCAGCAACAGAAAACAAATTGTCTACTGTTGCCTTTTTGGGGGGCTGGAGCGATAGCACAGCGGTAGGGCGTTTGCCTTGCACACAGCCAACGTGGCCAACCCGAGTTCGATTCCTCCACCCCTCTCGGAGAGCCCGGCAAGCTACCGAGAGGATCTCGCCCGCACGGCAGAGCCTGGCAAGCTCCCCGTGACGTATTTGATATGCCAGACACAGTAACAAGTCTCATGATGGAGATGTTACTGGGCCTGCTCGAGCAAATCGATGAACAATGGGAGGACAATGCTACACGGTGCTACAGTGCCTTCTTGGCAGATCTGAGTCTTGGGGTAAAATCCCAAATAATAATGGCGAGTCTGGTGTAGAAATATTGAATGTAATCAAAGGAGGGAGGGAGAGAGAGAGAGAGAGAGAGAGAGAGAGGTGTGAAAATCATCTGCCTCACAGGTAGGGGGAGGGTGTGGGATGGGGGGCATACTGGGCTTTTGGTGGTGGGAAATGTGTACTGGTGAAGGGACGGGTGTTTCATCACTGTATGACCGAGACTTAAACCCGAAAGCTTTTTTTTTTTTTGTTTTTTGAGTCACACCTGGCGATGCTCAGGGGTTACTCCTGGCTCTGCACTCGGGAATCACTTCTGGCGGTGCTCAAGGGACCGCATGGGATGCTGGGAATCGAACCCGGGTTGGCCACGTGCCAGGCCAACGCCCTCCCCGCTGTGCTATCGCTCCAGCCCCAAACCCGAAACTGCTCTCACAGTAATTCAATACATAAAGCAGGAGTGATCCCTGAGCACAAAGCCAGGAGTAGACTCTGAGCGCCGCCAGGTGTGGCCCCAGAAGGAAAAAAACAAAACAAAAACAAACTCAAGAACTCTGAATAGCTTGCCCTGATGCTACCAGGTCGAATGGCAGCTCTGGTTCCTGGTCTTTTACGATTGAGCCTTCCTTGGCTTCAAGTGTGTGTGAATTTGTAAATCTTGACCACCGCAAATCCTGACTACTGTGAAATTCCTCACGGCCCCCCAAATAGCGTCTACTCTTTCTCTTCTCTATCCCTCTGTTGTGATTTATTACTTCTACTTTTCTCTGCCTTTCTAGATTTTAGCCATCTTCAGGGGCTGGAGTGATAGCACAGTGGTAGGGCGTTTGCCTTGCACGCAGCCGACATGGTCAACCCAATTTCGATTCCTCCTCCCCTCTGGGAGAGCCCGGCAAGCTACCGAGAGTATCTCGCCCGCACGGCAGAGCCTGGCAAGCTCCCCGTGACGTGTTCGATATGCCAAACACAGTAACAAGTCTCACAATGTTACTGGGCCCTCTCGAGCAAAATCGATGAACAACAGGAGGACAGTGACAGTGACAGTGACAGGGGCTACCGTAAAGCCCACAAAATTTGTTCCAAAACTGAGGCTGGAGTACTGTGGGGCGGGCATCTGCCTTGCACGCAGCTGACCCGGGTTCGATCCCCGACATCCCATAGGGTCCCCTGAGCACTGCCCGGAGTCAATTCTGAGTGCAGAGCCAGGAGTAACCCCTGAGCATCGCCGGGTGTGGTCCAAACAAACAAACAAAAAACAAAGCAGAAATGATATTTTTTTAAACCAGGACTTGCTCTAATATAGATGAATGCGTATTCATGCATGGGCCAAGGCAGGGAAAGAGGCATTTTAGATACACAAAGTGAAAGTACTCTTCTGTTAAGCCAGAATTGAGACAAAAACAATCCGTCTCACATCACAATGGCTCTTAATTTATTTAAAAAAAAAAAACAACCTTTTTTTTCTTTTTAGGTCACACCCAGCGATGCTCAGGGGTCGTTCCTGGCTCTGTACTCAGGGATCACTCCTGGCGGTGCTTAGGGGACCCTATGGGATGACGGGGATCGAACCCGGGTCGGCCGCGTGCCAGGAAAATGCCCTCCCCGCTGTCCTATTTTTTGCTCCATTCCTAAAAAAAATTTTTTTTGGACCTCCTCAGTTGAGGGAGTCTGGTGCCTCCTGGTTACTCCCAGTCAACAGGGCTGGCATCAGGTGCAGGGGTGTGGGGCAGCTTAGCTGGGCAGTGCCCAGAATCTAAGATCCATCCCAGCAGTGCTTGGGGGCCTCTACAGCCACAGCCGGCCATGCCAGGGGCGAGGCAGTGCCAGAGATGGAACTGGCATTGAGGACAGTATGTAGTGCTGGGCATTGAACCGGGTCAGCCTGACGGCAGCAGCCTTGACCCCGCGATCTCTCTCCAGCCCGGCCTCTACCATCCTCTGCCAATCGTCTGTAGTGGCCCCAGACACTGAAAGTCTATCCCCGAGGTGTCCCTTTCTCTGATGGAAAGTGAGCATTTAAGGGTGCTTCTACCTAACCCGTTTTTTTTTTTCCTCTTTGGGTCACAGAGGTCACTCCTGGCTCAGCACTCAGGAATCACTCCTGGCGGTCCTCGGGAGATCCTATGGGATGCTGGGGATCAAACCCGGGCCAGTCACATGCAAGGCAAACGCCCTATGTGTTGGACTACTGCTCCATCTCTGAGATTCTTCTTTTTTTTTTTCTTTTTGCTTTTTGGGCCACACCCGGCGATGCTCAGGGCTGACTCCTGCCTCTAAACTCAGGAATTACTCCTGGCGGTGCTCAGGGGACCCTATGGGATGCCAGGGATTGAACCCGGGTCAGCCGCGTGCAAGGCCAACGCCCTCCCCACTGTGCTATCGCTCCGGCCTCCCAGCCTGAGTTCTGTTTATTCTCCACTGGCACCTGGGGCATAAGTGGGCCGTTTGCAGACTCCCCGCCCTGCATGCGGGGCAGATGGTGGCCCCCGGAAAGGGCGGCGGGGACACGTACTTGGCGAAGTTGGCCAGGTTCTGGATGACCTTGGCGATGAGCGTGAGGGTCCGCGAGGTGCGGTCGTCGGGGTACTCCTGCATGAGGCTGAAGAGGCTGGGCGACATGATGGCGGGGCACAGGAAGCGAAGGAACAGGGACGCGCTGATGAGCCGTTCGCTCAGGTCCTGCTTGCCACGGGCCACGCACTGCTGCTTCCACGAGGCGAACACCTCCTTCAGCTCCCGCGGGAAGACACTGTGGCAGACACGGAAGCCCGGGCGTCAGCGTGCACCCACCCCGGCCCGACGCCTCTGCTTCTGGGGAGCGGGGTAGGGCGGGGGACCTCCCCAGGAGCCCAGTGGAGGGGACAGACCATCTGGGTCTGGTTTCGAAATCACACCCGGCGATGCTCAGGGCTGACTCCTGGCTCTGTGCTCAGGCATCAATCCTGGTGGTACTCAGGGGACCCTAGGGGATGCCGGGGATCGAACCTGGGTTGGCCGTGCAAGGTGAATGCTCTAGCCACTGTCCTATGACTCCGCGTCCCCCCCCCCCATTTCCTTTAGATTTTTGGGTCACACCCGGCGATGCTCAGGGATACCCCTGGCTCTGCACTCAGGAATCACTCCTGGCCGTGCTTGGGGGACCCTATGGGATGCCGGGGATCGAACCCGGGTCAGCCATGTGCAAGGCAAATGCTCTACCCATTGTACTATCACTCCGGCCCCCAGTGTCCTTTTGATATTTGGGCCACATCCGGCCATGCTCAGGGGTCCCTTCTGGCTCTGAAATTTAGGGATCATTCTTGGCAGTGCTCAGGGGACCCTACGGGGTGCCGGAGATCGAACCTGGGTTGGCTGCGTGCAAGGCAAATGTTCTTCCCATTGTACTATCACTCCGGCCCCCAGTTTCCTTTTGATTTCTGGGTCACACCTGGTGATGCTCAGGGATTCCTCCTGGCTCTGAACTTAGGGATCACTCTTGGCAGTGCTCAGAGGACCCTACGGGGTGCCGGGGATTAAACCCGTATTGGTTGTGTGCAAGGCAAATGCTCTACCCACTGTACCACTGCTCCAGTCCCCCGTTTCCTCTTGATTTTTGGGTCACACCCGGCAATGATTAGGGCTGACTCCTGGCTCTGCACTCAGGAATCACTCCTGGTGGTGCTTGGGGGATCCCATGGGATGCCGCGGATTGAACCCGGGTCTGCCATGTGCAAGGCAAACACCCTCTCTGCTGGACTACATCTCCAGACCAAATTTTTTTTTTTTTTTTTGCTTTTTGGGTCCCACCCAGCGATGCACAGAGGTTCCTCCTGGCTCTGCACTCAGGAATTACTCCTGGCGGTGCTCGGGGGACCATATGGGATGCTGGGAATCGAACCCGGGTTGGCCGCGTGCAAGGCAAACGCCCTACCCGCTGTGCTATTGCTCCAGCCCCAAATTTTGTTTCCTTAACGCAGAGAGAGAGAGAGAAGCACGTGGCTCAGCAAGGGAGTCCTGAGTTCCAGCCACCCCCAAGGGCTGGGTGTGGGCTTTGCACACAACAGGCCTGCCTCAATCCCAGCCAATACGTGCTACCTCGAGCCCCACCGGGAGTGACCCGGGCAGGGCCCTGGGCGGAGACCCCCGGCACGACTCAACGTGGCCCCCAAATCAACCCACAGAAGAGCCTGTGCGAAGCCTCCCTGTTGGCCCGGGGGAAATGAGGGGACATCCAGGGTGTGAGCACCGTCCACGGTCCAGAAGGCCACTGGGGCACTGCCCAGGCACCTCTCCGCCCACAGGGAGGGGACACGTGGCCGGGCAGTGGTGGGGCACAGACTGGTGTCTGCCAGGTGATGAGGGGGAGGCGGGACTTCCGGGTGCGGGGGAGGCGGGACTTCCGGGCGCAGGGCCTGCTCACCAGTAGGAGTTGATGATCTTGCAGAAGGCCAGCTCACAGCACATCTTGAGGTTGCTCTGGTGGTCCAGCAGCTCGCTGGACGAGCAGCGGCTCGGGTCCACCTCGCAGTTCTCGTCCGACTCGTACAGGGCCTTGATGAACTCCCCTGTGGAGAGAGACGCGGGAGGTAACAGTCGCAGGGCCAGGGAGCTGGTCCTGATGAAGGCTCCCCCACCGGTTGCGGGGGGACAGTTTCCTCTCTGGGGTCTCATCCCAAGGTCGCCCACCATGGCTTTACCAAGTTCTGGGCAAAGGCCATGCGCGCTGGCATTAGGATCGTGGTATTTATGGGAACCAAAGAGCCGGAACTTATTAGTTGGTGTGGGGTCCCCCCCGCCATGGTAAACAACATCATTTTAAAATTATTATTTTGAAAATATTATTATTATTATCGAGGCTCGTCGTGTTCCTAGAACGAGCAGACGCCATTGGGCTACACTAGCACGCACAGGGACGAATGGAGACGTTACCGGTGCCCGCTCGAGCAAATCGACGAGTAACGGGATGTCAAGTGATCAAGCGATTACTATTGCTGTTGTTGCTGTCGTTGCAAGTCTCACCAGGGAGACGTTACTGGTGCCTGCTCGAGCAAATCGATGAACAATGGGAGGACAGTGCTACAGTGCATTATTATTGTTGAAATTACAGTTTTTATTTAGAGGTTTTTTTTTTTCTTTTTCGGTCACACCTGGTGATGCTCAGGGGTTACTCCTGGCTCTGCACTTAGGAATCACTCCTGGCAGTGCTCGGGGGACCCTATGGGATGCTGGGAATTGAACCCGGGTCAGCCGCATGCAGGGCAAACGCCCTACCCATGGTACTGTGGCTCCGGCCCTGTTACTATTTTCTTAATGGTCGTGGGGCTTCCTCCTGGGGACCCCCCAAGTCACTCAGAGTGGTAAGGCAGGCCCAGAGCGGTCAAGCTGGAGAAGGCGTTCTCCTAGCACACAGTGACCCAAGGACAGTTCCCTGGGCGCCACCAAGAGTGACCTCTGAGCGAGAGGCGACAACAGCTTCTGGGCACCGCTAGATGTGTTCACAACCCACTCAGCTCCTTGAAGTAAGAAAATAGCACATGGAAGTGTCCAACCAGGAACCAGAGCGAGAGCACAGCGGGGAGGGCGTTGGCCTTGCACGCGGCCAACCCGGGTTCGATCCCCGGCATCCCACAGGGTCCCCAGAGCACCGCCAGGAGTGATTCCTGCGTGCAGAACCAGGAGTCAGCCCTGAGCATTGCTGGGTGGGACCCCACCCCCCGAAAAGTGTCCAACCAACATCATCTTTCTGGCAGGGGTCCTATAGCATGGTCCTTGGGGGCTTTCCCTACAGTGTTGAGACAACCCGGTCTCAGGGATGGCAGTTTCTCTGACAGTTTTCTTCTGGCATCTGGAAATAGCCTTTTTTTTTAAATCCCCCTCCTGCACAAAGAATAAGGAATATAATAACCACTCTCCACTGTGCTTAACTTAGCTTACAGGTTTAGCAAGACTTCGCTGGCTATGTGATCACCCTCAATTGTGTTTCCAAGACTCCGGTCACAACCGTCCCCATCATCTGATGGAAATAACTGACCCCTCTTCCGGTACCTGGAGATTTAGCGGCCTTTCAGAATTGAGGTGGGGGGAAAAAATCACATTACAACCTCGCACCGTATTGAAACTAGGCCTGAATTTACACCTCTGGGCTCCCAAAACATACTTTTTTTTTTGCTTTTTGGGTCATACCCGGTGATGCACAGGGGTTCCTCCTGGCTCTGCACTCAGGAGTTACTCCTGGCGGTGCTCAGGGGACATATGGGATGCTGGGAATCGAACCCGGCTGTGTGCAAGGCAAACGTCCTACCCGCTGTGCTATCGCTCCAGCCCCACAAAACAGACTTCTTGAAGCTGCTCTCAAAAACGGGATTCCCACCAGAAAAAAAGTGAACAACAGAGGCAAAATCACCACAGAGAGCCAAGGGGTAACGGGCTGAGCAAATGGGGAGGGAGGGGTTAAGAGGACCTGGGAGATTTGGGGCTAGAGCCATAGTCCAGCAGATAAGGCTTGCATGCAGCCGACCTGGGTTCGATCCCCAGCATCCCGTAGGGTCTCCCGAGCACCGCCAGGTGGGATCCCTGAGCGCAGAGCCGGGAGTCAGCCCTGAGCATCATCGGGTGGGACCCCAAAGCAAAAACAAAACAAGAGGATGGAGGCTGGGGGTACGGGGGGGTGTGAAAGCCTCTCACTCCTTTATGCCTTGCCAGCTGCAGGGTTCCACCAGCCTGGCCCTGCCTGGGTTATAAATATGATAATAGTGGAGGCAGGGTGGGTTGGGGGAGAACTACTTGATTTTCTTCCCCTGCTCACCGGATTAATTTCCATGTCTCATTGAGCCAATCAGACATTTAATTAGTTGGTGTCCTTGAAGGGACTTGTACAGACTTCCCGCTCTGTAAGGTCGCCATTTGGAAATTCCTTCAGCGGCCCTGATGACAGACTGAGCCTCTAATTTTTTTTGTTGCTATTGTTTTTTTTGATCCGCTACCAGGGGTGCTCTGGGGTCACTCCCGGTGAGCTTAGGGGACCGTGTTGGATGCTGGGGATTGAACCAGGGTCAGCCGCGTGCAAGGAAGCACGTTACCTACTGTCCCATCTTTCTGGCCCAGTGTTTGGGATTTTTTTTTTTTGCGTTAATTTTTTTTTTTTTTTTGCTTTTTCAGTCACACCCAGCGATGCTCAGGGCTGACTCGTGGAGGTGCTCAGGGGACCCTATGGGATGCTGGGAATCGAACCCGGGTCGGCCATGTGCCAGGCAAATGCCACTGTGCTATTTCTCCAGCCCATCTCTCTCTCTCTCTCTCTTTCTCTCTCTCTCTCTCTCTCTCTCTCTCTCTCTCTCTCTCTCTCTCTCTTTCTCTCTCCTCTTTCTCTCTTTCTGATTGGGTCACACACGGTGATGCTCAGGGCTGACTCCTGGCTCTGCACTCAGGAGTCACTCCTGGCAGTGCTCGAGGGACCCTATGGGATGCCGGGGATCGAACCCTGGTCGGCCGCGTGTCAGGCCAACACCCTCCCCGCCGTGCCATCGCTCTGGTCCCGCTGTGGTTCTTTTCACCTGCTTTCTCTGTGCCCCAGCCTTGCGACTGAAATGAGACCACCCCCCTCCATTCCTCCGAGAGAGCGCTGGCCGCACCCGTGTGGTGCACGGAGGAAAGTGAGGGGACAGAAGTGACGCTTCCCAAGAAACCTGCAGCCTGACCCAGCCTCACTTGGACGGTGGCCGTCAAAAATTCAAGGTGGGGCCGGGTGGCAAGAGAACTGCCCTATTCCCAGGAACCTGGACCAGACAGCACGTTCTGTCCAAAAACTCTGGGGGCAGGGCTGGAGCGATAGCACAGAGGGGAGAGCGTTGGCCTTGCACGCGGTCGACCCGGGTTCAATTCCCAGCATCCCATAGGGTCCCCTGAGCCCCGCCAGGAGTGATTCCTGAGTGCAGAGCCAAGAGGAACCCCTGAGCATCGCCGGGTGTGACCCAAAAAGCCCCCCCCCCAAAAAAGTGCATCTGGAAATAAAGCAACCTATGGACTAGAGGATACAGTATCCCTAGCACCCCATAGGGTCCCCCGAGCACCACCAGGAGTGATTCCTGAGTGCAGAGCCAGGAGTCAGCCCTGAGCATCACCAGGTGCGACCCCCCAAAAAAGAAAACTCTGGGGGCCTGGAGGGCAGGAATCAGGGTCCGGGGAACTGTCCTTGGTTTGGGAACCACACAGCCCACGGCGCCTTCCAGGCTCTCAGGAGCGACGGCCACTAGAGTGACAGCAGGCCTCAGAAGGGGGACCGGGGGCGCCTGGGGACCAGGGTTTGAGAAACCCACACGCGGCCCCTGCACTGGGGCTCTCGGGAGGGGGAGGGGACGGACCCGACGGCGTGCCCGCGTACCCAGCGCGTCGTGCAGGTACTGCTGTCCCACTAGCTTCAGGTACTCCTCGATGGACTTGGTGGCGATGGTGTTCTCCCTGAAGATCAGCACGTCGTGCTCCCCGCAGCGGTCCACCTCGGACATCACCAGGTCGGTCAGGAAGTCCTGGGGAGGGGGGAAGAGGGTTCCGTCAGGGCAGGGAGCGGCGACAGCCGGGGCGAGCCGAGGGGGGAACACGGCCAAGGAAAGTCAAAAGTGCTAACGGAGCTCGGCGGGAAGAAAAGGAGATTTTGGTTGGGGCTGGAGCGATAGCACAGTGGGGAAGGCGTTTGCCTTGCACACGGCCGACCCGGGTTCGATTCCCAGCATCCCATAGGGTCCCCTGAGCACCGCCAGGAGTGATTCCTGAGTGCAGAGCCAGGAGGAACCCCTGAGCATTGCAAAGTGTGACCCAAGAAGTGCACGCGCACATACACACAAACACACACACACACACACACACACACACACACACACACGTCAAAATGACCAACGGGCTTCTGGGAAGAAAAGTCAAAAGGACTAAGGGGCTCAGAGGGAAGAAAAGTCAATTTTGGTTGAGGCTGGAGTGATAGCCCAGGGAGGGCATTTGCCTTGTACATGGCTGACCCGGGTTCGATTCCCAGCATCTCATAGGGTCCCCTGAGCACCGGCAGGAGTGATTCCTGAGTGAAGAGCCAGGAGAAACCCCTGAGCACCGGCAGGAGTGATTCCTGAGTGAAGAGCCAGGAGAAACCCCTGAGCATCGCCAGGTGTGATCCAAGAAGTGCGCGCGTTCACACACACACACACACACACACACACACACACACACACAATCAAAAATGACTAAAGGGCTTCTGGGAAGAAAAGTCAAAAGCACTAAGGAGCTCAGAGGGAGTAAAAGTCAATTTTGGTTGAGGCCAGAGCGACAGTACAACAGGGAGGGCATTTGCCTTGTACACGGTTGACCCGGGTTCGATCCCCGGCATCCCCTAGGGTCCCTGGAGCACCACCAGGAGTGATCCCCGAGTGCAGAGCCAGGAGGAACCTCTGAGCATCGCCAGGTGTGACCCAATCAGAGTGAACTGTCGCTGTCACTGTCCTCCCGTTGTTCATCGATTTGCTCGAACAGGCCCAGTAACACTGTGAGACTTGTTACTGTGTTTGGCATCTCGAAGACGCAACGGGGAGCTTGCCAGGCTTTGCCATGAGGGCGAGATACTCTCGGTAGCTTGCCAGGCTCTCCGAGAGGGGTGGAGGAATCGAACTCGGGTCGGCCATATGCAAGGCAGACCCTATCTGCTGTGTTACCACTCCAGCCCAATCAGAATGAAAGAAAGAAAAAAAAGAGAGAGCGGGGAAAAAAAAAGGAAGAAAGAAGGAAAGAAAGAACAAAAAAAAGAAAGACAGAAAGACAGAAAGAAAGAAAGAAAGAAAGAAAGAAGAGAAAGAAAAAAAGTGTGCTGGAACCATATAGTCCAGTGGCTAGGGCGTTTGCTTTGCATGCTGCCGACCCAGGTTCGATTCTCGGCATCCCATAGGGTCCCCCGAGCACCGCCAGGAGTGATCCCTGAGTGCAGAGCCAGGAGTCAGCCCTGAGCATCGTCGGGTGGGACCCAAAAAGCAAAAAACAAAAACAAAAATGTCAAAAGTGCTAAAGGGGGCTGGAGAGATAGCACAGCAGGTAGGGTGTTTGCCTCGCACACAGCCGACCCGGGTTCGATTCCCAGCATCCCATATGGTCCCCTGAGCACCGCCAGAAGTGATTCCTGAGTGCAGAGCCAGGAATAACTCCTGAGCATCACCAGATGTGATCCAAAAATCAAATAATAATAATGATGATGATGATAATCATAATAATAAAAATAATGTTGAAATGACTAATGGGCTCGCGGGAAGAAAAGTCAAAAACTAACAGGCTGGAAGGGAAGAACGGTCAGGATGAAACTTCAGTTGCCAACGCCCCTCAGTGAAACTCCCTTCAAAGCGTTTCCGGCGTGGGACTCAAGACCAAACCCAGGGATGTGGCTGGAGCAAGCGGGGAGGGCGTTTGCCTTGCACGCAACTGACCTAGGTTCGATCCCCAGCATCCCATAGGGTCCCCCGAGCACTGCCAGGAGTAATTCCTGAGTGCATGAACCAGGAGTCAGCCCTGAGCATCTCCGGGTGGGACCCAAAAAGCAAAAAAACAAAAACAAAAACAAAAAAAAAAAAACCCAAACCAAACAACCCAGGGTTAAGCCAAAGCATGAGCCTTGCTTGCAGGTGGCAGAGCCCAGCTGAGCCCTGGCATTCTGGGGCCCACGTCCTTAGGGGCCACTCCTGAGCACTGCGCCAAGAAGAGCCACCCTGAAGGGTGCTGAATGAGGTTCCCGCAAACCAAAAATGTGCGTGGCCCTTTGGATGAGCCCCTGAGGGCCCTGCTCCCCTCAACGTCTGCAGCCTCACCTGTCTTTTTTTTGTTTTGCTTCTTGGGTCCCACCCGGTGATGCTCAGGGCTGACTCCCGGCTCTGCACTCAGGCATCACTCCTGGCAGTGCTCAGGGGACCCGATGGGATGCCGGGGATCGAACCTGGGTCAGCCACGTGCAAAGCAGACACCCTACCTGCTGTGCTATTGCTCAGGTCCCTAGTTCATCACTCTACTAATTGATTGATTGATTGCTTTTTGGGTCCCACACAGCGATGCTCAGGGCTGACTCCTGGCTCTGCACTCAGGAATCCCTCCTGGCGGCGCTTGGGGGACCCCATGGGATGCCGGGGATTGAACCCGGGTGGGCCGCCTGCCAGGCCAATGCCCTCCCCGCTGTGCTCTCGCTCCGGCCCCTCACCTGTCCTTGTTCTGGGACCGTGAGTGTGTCGGGGATGGAGGTCGGGGAACCCCAGCTCCATACCTTGGTCTCCACGCCCTGCCCTAACTCAGCCACCGGACCCCACCGAGCCCTCTCCAGCGTGCAGTGTCACCTGCTCGCCACGCAACATGACACAGTGGCACCTTCACACCCGCCCTCTCTGCCAGGGAGCTCATTGCTGGGATTCCTGGGGTCTTAGTTCACACACTGATCACTTCCTCCAGGAAGCCTTCCCAGACCAGCACCAGCCTGGAATGCCATTGACAGACGCCCTCCCCCACTGCAAAGCTCCACCCTGGCACCAGAGACCTGGTCTGTCTCGTCAGCGGAACGACGCGTTCACGTCTGCAGTGGCCGGCTTATCTGTTTCCCACGGGAGGCTGGCTGTTCGCCCGACAAGGCTCCGTTCACCTCCATATTTTCAGCACCCCACAACTCCCGGACTGGGTGAGGGCTTCGGGGAAGAACAAACCGTACCCCGGTCTCTGTGCAGGCTCCCAGGGGCCCACTGTTTTTTCTGTTTGTTTGTTTTGCTTATTGGGTCACACCTTGCGAAGCTCAGGGCTGACTCCCGGCTCCACACTCAGGAATCACTCCTGGCAGTGCTCGGGGGACTCTATGGGATGCCGGGGATCGAACCCGGGTCAGCCGTGTGCAAGGCCAATGTCCTCCCTGCTGTGCTATTGCCCAGGTCCCTGGTTCATCACTCTTTATTGATTGATTGATTGCTTTTTGGGTCCCACCCGGCGATGCTCAGGGCTGACTCCTGGCTCCGCACGCAGGAATCACTCCTGGCAGTGCTCGGGGGACTCTATGGGATGCCGGGGATCGAACCCGGATCAGCCGTGTGCAAGGCAAACACCCTACCCACTGTGCTATTGCTCCAGTGCCCTCCAAAGTTTTTTGTTTTATTTATTTTTTTAAAATACACATTATCATGAATCTTGAATGACTGAAAGGAAAAGCAAAAAAAAAAAAACACAGGGGCTGGAGCGATAGCACAGCAGGTAGGGCGTTTGCCTTGCACATGGCTGACCCGGGTTCGATTCCCAGCATCCCATAGGGTTCCCTGAGCACTGCCAGGCGTAACTCCTGAGTGCAGAGCCAGGAGTAACCCCTGTGCATCGCCGGGTGTGACCCAAAAAAGCAAAAACAGAAACAAAAAACAAAACAAACACAAACAAACAAACAACCCCACCAAAAATCAAAGATGAGGCTTCAACCTTCTCAGGCCACACTTGCAAGCGTTTTCAACACTCCCACTTCCCCAAAGCTCTAAATTATGAGGAAACCCAACAGCGACAATCAAGAGGAAAGCAGCCAGCCAGAGTAACTGCTGAGTCTCCGAGCGGTTCTCATCGAGGAAGAACCTGATGAGCATTTTATATTTCCTTTTTCTTTTTTTGTCCTTCAGGGTCACACCCAGCGATGCACAGGGGTTCCTCCCGGCTCTGCGCTCAGAAATCACTTCCTGGTGGTGCTTGGGGGACCCTATGGGGTGCTGGGGATCGAACCCGGGTTGGTTGCGTGCAAAGCAAACACCCACCCCACTGTGCTATGGCTCTGACCCCGCGTTTTTGTTTTTTTGGTTTTTTTTTTCACTGCTTGGTTTTCAATTAACCATGCAGGCTGTGAACGCTCTGGAGCTCGAGGGCTTTCCACCAGGGTCAGCATCCCCAGAAGGAAGAAGATGTGTGACCGCCACAGTCGGGGCCAGCCGTGACCTCTTGCCAATGGGTGGCTGAACTCCTCACATCCAGCGTTTCTCCTCTGCCATCTTCCCGCACTCCTGCTAAGGCCCCCATGCACCGCCTCCAATTACCCCACATCCCTTGGCATTCCCATTTTAGCCTGGGTCCTTCTGGAATAGCTCCCTCTGGATCTAGGGACAGAGGCTCGGAACTTGAAACACAGGAGAAGCCCGAGTTCTCTTTTCTCTCTTTAACACAAATCTATTTCTCCTTCCTCACACTTCTCTAAACTTCCTTTTTTCTTTCCTTTATTTTTTTTTGGGGGGGGACACTTGGGGGTCCCACCTGGCGATGCTCAGGGCTGACTCCTGGCTCTGCGCTCAGGAATCACTCCTGGCGGTGCTTGGGGGGACCCTATGGGATGCTGGGAGTCGAACCCGGGTCGGCTGCGTCCAAGGCAGACGCCCTCCCCGCTGTGCTATCTGTCCAGTCCCATGACTCATTATTATTATTATTGTTAATATTATTTTGGTCTTTTGGGTCCCACCCGGTGACGCTCAGGGCTGACTCCTGGCTCTGCACTCGGGGATCACTCCTGGCGGTGCTCGGGGGACCCTATGGGATGCCGGGGATTGAACCCGGGTCGGCCGCGTGCCAGGCCAACGCCCTTTCCGCCAATTGCTCATTTACTCATTATTATTATTATTATTATTATTATTTTGCTTTTTGGGTCACACCCAGCAATGCTCAGGGCTGACTCCGGGCTCTGCGCTCAGGGATCACTCCTGGTGGGGCTCGGGGGACCCTATGGGATGCCGGGGATCGAACCCGGGTCGGAAGCGCACCAGGCCAACGCCTTCCCCTCTGGGTTCTTCTTCAGGCTCCAAATCTCTAAATTTCTCTCAGTATAAAAGTTGTTACACACACACACACACACACACACACACACACACACACACACACACACAGAGAAATGGCACAACCCTCTCGAGAGCTACTGCCCAAGAAACACAGGCCCTAACCTAGAGGCTTAACTAGGCGTTGCCTCCCCTTCTGCCTAGCCAATTCCAACTGAGCCATGCGGACGCTTCACGCCAACGGGCCTGGACAAACGGACAAAAATCTGTGTCCAACTGTCTTTCTTCTTCCGGGTTCGAATCCCTACCCCTTTTCAGTCGCAGAAATGCTCACCAGGGGCCCCTCCAATTCTATCTTTTGGGGGGGGCGGGTGTGCAAAGCGGAGCATCCATCTCCAATTTGAAAACTCTTTTATTTATTTATTTGCTTTATGGGCCCCAGCCGGCAATGTTCTGGGGTTCCTTCTGGCTCTGCACTCAAGAATCACTCCTGGCGGTGCTCGGGGGACCCTCGGGGATGCTGGGGATCGCACCAGGGTTGGCCGTGTGCCAGGCGCACACCCTCCCCACTGTGATATCGCTCTGGCCCCCCCCCCATTGCATTTTAATATCAAGTTTAGCATTTTACGGTGGCTCAGTTTGAAATGTGTCACTACAGTGTGATTTGAAAATTACGTATGCGGTGACAGCTGAAACTCTCCGGAGCCCTACACAGAGGGAACTTGAAACAAAGCACTGAGCCACTGGCGGGTTATTTGGGGGCCAGTTTCACAGCGTTAGGGACCGTGGACTTACACGCTGGCCAGGAAGAGACACTGGGACATAAAGGCCACTTAAGGTGGCTTCACTAGCAGCATATGGGAGGGGTGTGGGCGCTGTCAAATGTTTATCGAGACTTTTTCTGCTTCAAATGGGTGCTCTTGTCATCCTCAAGGTACACCCCAATAAAGTTTATTTATGTTTTGCTTTTTTTTTTTTTTGCTTTTTGGGTCACACCTGGCGATGCACAGAGGTTACTTCTGGCTCTGCACTCAGAAGTTACTCCTGGCGGTGCACAGGGGACCCTATGGGATGCTGGGAATCGAACCCGGGTCGTCCGCGTGCAAGGCAAATGCCCTCTCCGCTGTGTGATCGCTCCAGCCCCCAAATGTTCTGCTTATTGGGTCCCACCCGGCGATGCTCAGGGCTGACTCCCAGCTCTGCACTCAGGAATCACTCCTGGCGGTGCTCGGGGGACCCTATGGGATGCCGGGGATCGAACCGGGTCAGCCGCATGCAAGGCAAACGCCCTCCCTGCTGGACTATCACTCTAGTTCCATGAATATTATTATTATCATCATTATTATTATTATTTGATTTTTTGGGGTCCCACCCGGCGATGCTCAGGGGTTCCTCCTAGCTCTGCACTCAGGAATCCCTCCTGGCGGGGCTCGGGGGACCCTATGGGATGCTGGGGATCGAACCCGGGTCGGCCGCGTGCAAGGCCAACGCTCTCCCCGCTGTGCTATCGCTCCAGCCCCCATCTCTTAATTTCCACCTCCCACAGTGCCTCAGTTAACTGGGCCGGAAGAGGCGGGGGCTTCGATCCCGAGCGAAGCTCCCCGTCCCCCACTCCCGGCGTCCTCACCTTGGCTCTTCCGGTGCTCTGCAGAATGTGCACCAAGGCGCAGGCCAGCTCCTCCTTGTTCCTCACGCTGATGACCGGCTCAAGGACGCAGCACAGCATGGTGTAGTTGCTGGTGACGAACTCGGCGAACTCCTTGTACTGCTCCATAGGCAAGATGGTGATGGTCTGGAAGCGGGACTTGATGCGGATGGACGGCCCGGCTGCCTTGCCCTTGCTGAGGGTGGGCGTGCTCACCGGGTACCACTTCTCCACGAACTGGCGGCCCGTCACGCTGGCCGTGGGGATGTTGACCAGCCCCACGTAGTTGTTCTTGTCCTTCTTCTTCTTCTTCTCCACGTCCTTGTAGATGTGGACCGTGATGCTGTGAAGGGGCGGCAGGCTGAAGAACTCGAAGTGCTCCCCCCAGAAGATATTGTCCGCTTTGGTCTTGCTGGTGGTTCGCGCGAAGAGGGTATCGTCAAGGCACAGTTCACAGAAGTACTTCTTCTTAGGGGCGAGGTCCTTGGCTTCAATGATCCACAGGCGGAGAACATTTTCGGCACGTCGGCAGTTGTCCTGTGGGAAGCAACTCAGCTGATGACCACCGGCAGGCGATGTTCAGAGATCACCCCAAGAATCTAGCTGAATCTTTTTCTTTTTTGGGGGGATCACATTGGGTGATGCTCAGGGGTTCCTCCTGGCTCTGCATTCAGGAATCACTCCTGGCAGGCTCAGGGGACCCTATGGGATGCCAGGGATCGAACCCGGGTTGATTATGTGCAAGGCATTATTGCTTTGGCCTCTTTAGCTAATTTTTTTTTTCTTTTTGGTTCACCCCCAGCGATGCTCAGGTTAACTCCTGGCTCTGCATTCAGGAATCTCTCCTGGCGGTGCTCAGGGGACCCTATGAGATGCTGGAGATTGAACCCGGGTTGGCCACATGCAAGGCAAACACAGTTCCCGCTGTGCTATTGCTCTGGTCCCTCTAGTTGAATCTTAAGCCTGTTTCAATGAGGCTCTACTTTCAGGGGGGTGAAAAATAAAATAATCCCATAATGTTAGTTCTCTGGCCAACCGAGAGTGAACCAGAGAGCTTCTAAGGCACAAGTGAAGCCAGCCGTCTCCTGGCCCTATTTTTTTTTTGCTTTTTGGGTCACACCCAGTGATGCTCAGGGGTTACTCCTGGCTCTGCACTCAGGAATTACCCCTGGCGGTGCTCAGGGGACCCTATGGGATGCTGGGAATCGAACCCGGGTTGGCTGCTTGCAAGGCAAACGCCTTACAGATATTGCTCCAGCCCTATTTCTGTGGTGGATTTTGGCCCAGGCCAGTCACTTCCCGTCTCTCATTTTATCCACTTTGGTCAAGTTCTGATGGTATTGGCAATGCGGGGTAATAAGGAAGTATGTCTTTCTTTCTTTCTTTCTTTCTTTCTTTCTTTCTTTCTTTCTTTCTCTCTCCCTTCCTCCCTCCCTCCTTCCTTCCTTCCTTCCTTCCTTCCTTCCTTTGTTCCTCCCTCCTTCCCTTTCTTCTCCCTTCCTTTCTTCCTCCTTCCTTCCTTCCTTCCTTCCTTCCTTCCTTCCTTCCTTCCTTCCTTCCTTCCTTCTTTCTTTCTTTCTAATATACAAGCAAGTATTTCTTAGAAACTCTAGTCAAGATAAAGAACTGGGACCAGGGCCGGAGTGACAGCACAGCAGGGAGGGCATTTGCCTTGCACGTGGCTGACCTGGGTTTGATCCCTGGCATCTCATAGGGTCCCCCGAGCACTGCCAGGAGTGATGCCTGAGTGCAGAGCCAGGAGTCAGCCCTGAGCATCGCTGGGTGGGACCCAAAAAGCGCGCGCGCGCACACACACACACACACACACACACACACACACCCAACAAAGATTCAGCTTGAAAGGCCAAAGCGATAGGAAGTACAGCAGGAAGGGTGTTTTTGCCTTGCACGTGGCTGACCCGGGTTTGATTCCCAGCATCCCATAGGGTCTCCCGAGCACCGCCAGGAGTGATTCTGAGTGCAGAGCCAAGAGGAACCCCTGTGCATGTCCGGGTGTGACCCAAAAAGATAAATAAATAAATAAATAAATAAAATAAAACTGGTATCTATTTAAAAAAAAAAAAGAACTGGAACCAGGGAGACAGTGACATGAGCCGGAACTTGGACTCCGCATGCAGGAGGCCCGGGTTCGATCCCAGGCAACAGGTGGGCCCCTGAGCACTGCTGGGGTGACTCTGGAGCACAGAGCCGGGAGTAGCCCCCCCCCACACCCCCAGGGGTAGCTCCAAGCTGCACCACTGCACTAACCGACCGACCGACCGCACTGAAGCAAACCCAACGTTTTCAGAGTCCCACGGCTGCTGTTACCTTATTGGGCTGGACCGTTCTGCGAAGGTTTTCCATCCACTTGTCTCTCTCGGAGGCAGAGTTACAGCTGAAGCACTTGCTGCCACTCAGGTAGGTGACCTGCAGCAGGAAGACGAGAGGTCAGGCGAGGAACGAAGCCCAGCCCCCTCCCCGCCTCGCTCGACGCGGCAGGAAACTGCGGCCACCCGGCTGGCTCGGGGACAACCCCGTGGTCCCGGCCACACGCCCTGTGCTACTTCCTCCGCCTCCCTCGGCGCCGGGACCGAGAAGGCGTTGTGGGATCGAACACGGGCCCGCCCCGCTTCAAAAGGACGATCAGGATGAAAGAGTTTCCAGGCTCTCCTTGGGGTCCTGCAGATGCTGAGCTGAGGGGATCTGAGGCAGCGCTGAGGAGAGGGAAAGTGTCTCTCCAAAAGCCCAGCGTATCTGGGGACGGGGGGACACGTGGGAAGACAGCACTTAAGGAGGGGGCCGGTGGCACCGAATGGAATCATTTTGGACTTTCCACATCTGGCGATGCCCAGGGGTCCCTCCTGGCTCTGCGCTCAGGAATCACCCCTGGCAATGCTTGGGGAACCCAATGGGATGCCGGGAATCGAACCCAGGTTGGCCGCGTGCAAGGCAAACGCCCTCCCCGCTGTGCTATCGCTCCGACCCCTGTTGTCAGGTTTTATTTTATTTCATTTATTTATTTATTGCTTTTTTTGGGGTCACACCCAGCGATGCTCAGGGGTTCCTCCTGGCTCTGCACTCAGGAATCACTCCTGGCGGTGCTCAGGGATCATATGGGATGCTAGGAATCGAACCCGGGTTGGCCACGTGCAAGGCAAACGCCCTAGCTGCTGTACTATTGTTCCAACCCCAGGGACCACTTTCTTTCTTTCTTTTTTTAAAATTTTTATTAGTGAGACACCATGAGGTACAGTTGTAGACTTACAAATTTTGTGCTTGGGGCTGGAGCAATAGCACAGCAGGTAGGGCGTTTGCCTTGCACGTGGCCAACCCGGGTTTGATTCCCAGCATCCCATATGGTCCCCTGAGCACCGCCAGGGGTAATTCCTGAGCACAGAGCCAGGAGGAACCCCTGTGCATTGCTGAGTGTGACCCAAAAACGCAAAATAAATAAATAAATAAATAAATAAATTTGTGCTTGGGACCGCTTTCTTTCAGCACACAAGTCCATTGACCAAACCACATTACTGACTGCTGTGATCACTGTCCTTGATCACAGAACCGTTTCCAGACACACAGCGACTAACTCTGACGTGGGACGGGACCTGTTTAACCGGGATCGGCAGATATAAGGACGTTCAAATGGTTCCTGGGGGTTCACTGCATGTTCACTCACTCTCGGGCTTAAGCCCTGGGAACGGGCTGGATGTCCCGTCTCACGTGGGAGCGACTCGCGCGGCCACCGAGGGGCTGAGTGGGTGGCTCAGTGGCTGAGTCTGCAGAGAGGTCCCCGGGTTCGAGCCCCGGCACCTTCTCCCCCATCATGGGAAGAAAAAGGGAGCCAATAGGAATAAGGGTGATGCAGGCAGAAGATCACACCAGACTCTAAAGACTTAGAATACAGAATGGCTCACTGAGGGTTTTCCTGATGGATACCTTCTGAAACGGTGTTTGGGAGAAAAATGATTCTTAAAATAACTCAAGGGGCTGGAGCAGTAGTCCAGCGGGGAGGGCATTTGCCTTGCACGCGGCTGACCCGGGTTCGATTCCCAACATCCCATATGGTCCCCTGAGCACCGCCAGGGGTGATTCCTGAGTGCAGAGCCAGGAGTCAGCCCTGAGCATCACTGGGTGTGACCCCCCCAACGAAAAGGGCCTAAAAGATTTTTGGTCAGTTTCCTCAATACTCATTAAGGAGGTGTGTGTGTGGGGGGGCTGGGGGGGGCCTTCAGGGTCTCAAGAATCAAGTAGTAGGGGCCAGAGCGATAGTACAGCTGGTAGGGCATTTGCCTTGCATGCGGCTGACCTGGGTTCAAGCCCTGGCATCCCATGACTTGATCCCAGAAATGCCCGGAATTAATTCCTGAGTACAGAAACTCAGGAGTAACCTGAGTTTCGCCGGGTTTGACCCAGAAAATAAAAAAATAATAATAATAATAATAAAAAAAGAGTAAAATAGTCACAGAGTGGGGTATATTATTTCTTGCAGCTGAAAAGTTCTCATGGCAATTGAGTGATTTATTGCCGTGCCTGCGACTTTTGCTGAGAACGCTCAGAATGTCTACAGAATGGGAAACAGGGTGGGGGGGGGGGCTGGAGCGATAGCCTGGCGGGAAGGGTGTTTGCCTGGCACGTGGCCGACCCGGGTTCGATTCCCAGCATCCCATAGGGTCCCCCGAGCCCTGCCAGGAGTGATCCCTGAGTGCAGAGCCAGGAGTCAGCCCTGAGCATCCCCTGGTGGGACCCAAAAAGCAAAAAAGCAAAAACAAAAACAAAAATAAAAACAAAAACAGGGCTGGAGTGATAGCACAGCGGGTAGGGCGTTTGCCGCCTTGCACATGGCCGACCCGGGTTCGATTCCCAGCATCCCATAGGGTCCCCTGAGCACCGCCAGGAGTAACTCCTGAGTGCAGAGCCAGGAGTAACCCGTGCATCGCTGGGTGTGACCCAAAAAGCAAAACAAAAACAAAAACGGGTAACAGACTTGGCTCAAGGCAACGCGGGGCGGGGGGCGTAGACCCCCCTCCCTTCCTCATCCCCACCAGCGAGGTCAGCACCTCCCCCTTCCCTGAAGTGGGTGATTTCCGCACAGGGAAGCCCGGCTGGGACGATCACATCGCCGGCGGCCACAGTGACAAAGCCCCCGAACCACAGGCCCGGAACCCCCCGCACCCGGCCCCCGACGCTTCCTCTTACCTCAAAGCAGAAGTCCTGGCCCAGGATGCTGCTGTGGAGGGGCTTCACGGCCACGGGCTCCCCCCGGCCCAGGTCCAGACACTCCACGGCGCTGCAGGGGTTCAGCAGGGACTCGTGCGAGCGGGACTCCTTGAGCTTGGGCAGCCCCCGGGACCTGCAGGGGCCGCGCGGGAACGGGAAAGATGGCGTCACTTTGGTCAAGGAGGGAGAGAACGGCGGGAGCCGGTGGGGGAAGCCGCCACCGGGGTACGAGACCATCTCCAGACACACAGTACCCAACGCTGACGTGGACGGGACCCGCCAAACCGGGATCGGCAGATACGAGGACGTTCAATAGGCTTCCGAGGTTCACTGCATGTTAACTCACTCTTGGCTGAAGCCACGGGAACGAGCTGGACTTTGCGACTCATGTGGGAGCGACTCGCGCAGCCACCGAGAGGCTTAAGAGAGGTCGTGGGTTCGATCCCCGGCACCAAAAAGAACCAGGAGCAAACGAGGAGCCGATCTGTGGGTCGGGGGGACCCGGCTGGCGTAGCAGAGACTCTCACTCCGTTTCCGGAAGTAACAGAGACACCCTGCAGTTCTCCTGATCTCAAGGAAGCTCACCGCCTCACTGCATCCTCCGCTGTTCTGGGTCTCATTTCCCTGGGGCTCGGGGACTCGTGTGAGGCACAAGGTCAAGGTCATCTCTGACACATTTTTTTTTCTCTTTGGGTTGGGCTGGAGCCATAGCACAGCGGTAGGGTGTTTGCCTTGCAAGCCACCAGCCCGGCCGAGCTGGGTTCGATTCCTCCGCCCCTCTCGGAGAGCCCAGCAAGCTACCGAGAGTATCTCACCCACAAGGCAAAGCCTGGCAAGCTCCCCGTGACGTATTCAAGATGCCAAACACAGTAACAACAAGTCTCACAATGGAGACGTTACTGGGCCCGCTGGAGAAAATCGACGAACAACGGGAGAGCAGTGCTACAGTGCTCTTTGGGTCCCACCCGGCGATGCTCAGGGCTGACTCCTGGCTCTGACTCAGGGATCACTCCTGGCAGTGCTCGGGGGACCCTATGGGATGCCGGGGATCGAACCCGGGTCTGCTGTGAGCAAGGCCAACACCCTACCCACTGTACTATTGCTCCAGCCCCAGCTCTGGTCATTTTCTGGGAAAAAGCACAGAGACCTGCAAAGGCCAGGCCACCCATTCCGTTGGCCACATGAGACAGTAACGGGATCTGGGACCGAGCACTCGAAGCAGAGCTCACCCTTCCCTTCCCGTCCGAACAGAGCTTGAACTTTCCGCAGCTAGAGAGTGTTGAAGCAAGAGGATTTTACACACACACACACACACACACACACACACACACATGTCCAAAGTCAAGTTCACACTCCCATCAATAAAAGAGCACTTGAGGGGCTGGAGCAATAGCACAGCAGGGAGGGCGTTTGCCTGGCATGCGGCTGACCCGGGTTTGATTCCCAGCATCCCATATGGTCCCCTGAGCACTGCCAGGGATGATTCCTGAGTACAGAACCAGGAGGAACCCCTTTGCATCGCCGAGTGTGACCTCCACCCGCCCGCCAAAAAAAAAAAAAAGCAAAAAAAAAAAAAGCAAAAAAAAAAAGCAAAAAAAAAGAGCACTTACAAGGAGCATTATCAGTTGCCTCTTGGAAAGACCCAACACTGCATTTACTTGCTTATTTATTTATTTTTTGTTCCGTGGGACAAATGTGACAACACAGCACAGCTACGACGAGGAACCCAGGGCCGGGGAATCTCTCCCACCCTTACCTGACGCTTGCTCCAGAAACGTCTCACAAGGCTGAGCAGCCGGCTGGAGACGGCGGCTTGCACATGCGCACACACACACACACACACACACACACACACACACACACTCTCTCTCTCACACACACACACACACACACTCTCTCTCTCACACAGCCTCACACAGTCTCACACACACACTCTCTCACAAGTCTCACACACACTCTCTCTCACACATACACTCACACACACACACACACACACACACACACTCTCTCTCTCTCTCTCACACAGCCTCACACACACTCTCAGTCTCACACACACACTCTCTCACAAGTCTCACACACACTCTCTCTCACACATACACTCACACACACACACTCTCAAAACATACACACATACACTCACACACACACACACACACTCTCTCTCTCTCTCACGCAGCCTCACACACACTCTCAGTCTCACACACACACTCTCACAAGTCTCACACACACACTCTCTCTCACACATACACTCACACACACACACTCTCAAAACATACACACATACACTCACACACACTCTCACTCTCTCACACACACTCTCAAAACATACATACAAACTCACACACACACACTCTCAAATCATACACACATACACTCACACACACACTCTCTCTCTCTCTCTGTCTCTCTCTCTCTCTCCCTCCCCATCCCCCTTTCCCAAGAGGCAGCACCCAAGGGGGGAAAGCCTCCCCGTTCCATCCGGGGAGCAGCTGACAGGCAGAGCAAGGCGGACACCCAAGGAAGGCGGGCAGACCCCCCCCGCCCCCCCCCGTCCCCGTCCCCCAGGAAAACGCTCCTTCACCGCGCCCAACGTGCGCTGACTCTTCCCGCCAGAGAAACGGCTACTACCACCACTACCTACATGAAGCAGTTCGACAGCCACCGGGCGGTGCACCCCCAGATCATCGCGGGGGCCTCATCTCCCACCTGGCGAGCCCCCGTCGGAACCGCAGCTCAGTGCTCAGAGGACCGGACGCCCCCCCAGAGCCGGGAGCGTTGGCCTGTCACGGCCGCAGCCAAGCCCCGGCCAGCCCGGGGCTCACTCCCAGCAGAGCTGAGCAAACATGAAGTCATCTTCCAGCCCGGGGAACCCGCCTTCTCTTCCCGGGTTCCGCCGGCCCCCAGGTGGCACAAACCAGGTGGCAGGGCAGGGCTGTCGCCATGACGCCGCCCCGGAAGGAGCAGGCAGGCAGCGCTGTCGGGGAGGCTCCGAGCAAGCTCCGGCCTGACCTTTGCCGGACTGGAAGCGAGGGTGGGCTCCCCCCAGCTCCCCCCAATACCCGGAGAGAAACACAGGCCTGGCTGGCGGGGGGCGCCTGAGACACTTCTGCTTGCTCCTCTGATGAAGCCAGGCCCACCCCCTCCTTGCTGCCCCGATGAAGCCAGGCCCACCCCCTCCTTTCTCCCCTGATGACTCCAGGCTCACCTCCCCTCTCCTGCCCCCCAGGAATCTGCTAGCGCACACCTCGCCAGAACATTCTTTCCAGGACAATGATTTCCCTTGACGGTGTTCCGTGTCCGCGCTCCAGTGGGTTCTAGGTGCTCCTTTCCATGGATTTATCTGAACTTGACATTATTTATTGATTTTTCTTTTCGGGTCCCACCCGGCGATGCACAGGGGTTTACTCCTGGCTCTGTGCTCAGAGATCACTCCTGGCGGTGCTCGAGGGACCCTATGGGATGCCGGGGATTGAACCTGGGTCGGCCGCATGCCAGGCAAATGGCCCTACCCGCTGTGCTATTGCTCCAGCCTTGAACTTGGCGTGTGGAACGTTTGGCTCCATTTTCACTGCACCCTCGGAGCTGAGCACATTTTGAAACTTGGGTCTGATTTCTAAATGGGGGGTGGGGCATTGTCAAAGAGACAAGTGCAGGGGTCTGAGGGGCCTTTGCATGCCGTTGAACCCGGTCTGACCCCCCCTGGCACCGCACATGGTCTTAGAGCACAGAACCAGGAGTCAGCCCTAAGCATCGCTGGGTGTGGCACGACCATCCCCGCCCCCCCAGGCCCAAGTAGAAATTTCTAAATGGGGTCATGACGCAAAAGCTTTCCACCACCACGCGGGACTCGAGAATTCAAAACTTGTTGCTGAGATAAACGTCCACGACAAAAAGCCACTGTCCAGTCCGGAGCCGCTTCCGGTGGGCAGGGACACACGCGCATGCGCACACGCGCAGCCGGCCGCCAATCACGGGATATTACCACAATCCACCGCGGCGATGGACCAACGTGTCCCGGAGAAGCGGCGACCCCCAGGGTGGCAGGGAGTCAGGAAATAGGAGGACGGGCTGCGTGTGTGGGGGGGGGGTACCAAGGGGAGTATTATCAGGCCCATTGTGCCCCTTCCCCGAGACCCTCCCAGCCTCAGTTTCCCCCTCCCCTACCTCGTGCTGATGGATTTTTTTCCCAGCCTGATTGAGGGCTGGGCTCCGGCGGCGCCAGCTGACCTCTCTGCTGGGAAGTGAGGCTCCGAGTGACCGGACAATGGGACCGTTTTCCCAGGGCCAGTGACGTCCATCTAGGAGCCAAGGCCCCGGTGGACACTGCCTCTCTCTTCCTGCCCTGCCCCCAGCTTTCCCCACACCACCAAGGGGGACGCTGGGCTCCCCGAGGACAGGCTATCTCTCTCTCTGCCCGGGAAGGCCACGTTGCCACTAGACAAGGAACGCGGCAACTCCTGACCCACGAGGGCAGCAGGGACCCCTGTGGGGTCCGCGTGGCCTCCAGCCACGGGATGGGTCAGGCCAGTGCATCTCCTGGCTTTGCTGATGACCCATTCTTTCCTGCTCTCTCTCTCTGAATCACTGTGAGATGCAGTTACAAGCTTTCATGTTTGAGTGTCAGTCATACAATGATCCACCATAAGATACAGTTACAAGCTTTCATGTTTGAGTGTCAGTCATACAATGATCCACCATAAGATGCAGTTACAAGCTTTCATGTTTGAGTGTCAGTCATACAATGATCGAACACCCATCCCTCCACCAGGGCATATTCCCCACCACCAATGTTCCCAGTATCCTTCCCCCTTTCCCACTCCCCCTGCCTCCATGGCAGACAATCTCCCCCAGACTCTCTCGACTTTGGGGCATCATGGTTTGCAATGCAGACACTGAGAGGCCATCACGTTGGGTCCTTGATCTACTCTCAGCACACAGCTCCCATCCCGAGCGATCCCTCCATCCCTCACTGACTCAGTGATCCCTTCTCTATTCCAGCCGCCTTCTCCCCCAGCTCGTGAGGCAGGCTGCCAACCATGGGGCAATCCTCCTGGCCCTTGTGTCTACTGTCCTTGGATGTCAGTCTCATGTTATTGTATTTAATTTAATTTTTTTTCTTTTTGGGGTCACACC